TGATGATTTTATTTCAAACCACAGCCATTTGAAAGAGGTCTTAAAATCACTGATTTCTTTTTTTTATTTTTATTTTTATTTTGCAATACAATTCAGTTCTACATTATCAGCCACGATTCCCTTGTTCTCCCCCCTCCGGCCCCCCTCAATTAGGAGGGTTTATATGAGCGAGAATTGTTGAGACCAAGGTTGGATAAAGCACAGGGACAAATAGCCAAATGAATGGAAACACATGAACTATGAACCAATGGCTGAGGGGTCCCCACTGGATCAGGCCCTCTGAATGGGTGAGACAGTTGATTGGCTTGATCTGTTTGGGAGGCATCCAGGCAGTGGGACCGGGTCCTGTGCTCAATGCATGAGTTGGCTGTTTGAAACCTGGGGCCTATGCAGGGTCGCTTGAACCGATTTCTTCTTAAGGATCATCTGTGTTCCCTTGTGAAACAGCGGCATAACCGCAACGCTTTATGGCCCGTGTGTGGTACCTCCCAGCAAGCCACATGGACCCATTGTTGACCCAGCAATAAGTCTAGGAGAGATTTTTAACTTGTGCCCTTTTGTATGTTAACAGTTTATTTTCCCCCTATAGATCTGTTATTTATTTTTACATATTTTGCTCCTTTTAACCTGGTGACAGCAATGTGAAGTTATCACAGGCCTTTTACTCAGTATTTCTCTAACAAGTCAACCAGGTATAAACAGGGTTTTTATGTCCGTTTGTAAATTTTAGTGAGGGGCGGTTGAGCTGAGACGGGAAATAAAAAGACAAATACTACATTTGTGTAATGTTTAATTCACATCAGTTGCCCAATACTGTGCTGTTGGCATGTCTCAATAAAAAGGCTTCAAAAAGAAATTATTGCAGTGTAAAAATAGTTTCCCTGAATTCACATGCTTTTTACTATTCCCAAGTCTCAAAATAGCTTTTAAAATGTTTTTTTTTTTTTTCAGACTCCTAGAGCCATGTACCCCGTATTGTGATAGGATGTATTACTCTGCCCTGCTCCCTAGAGTGGAGTTGGAGAGAAGAGAAATTGAGACAGCTCGGCACCGTACTAACCTGAAAGAGGCCCAAGTTGAGATTGCCTTTTGTTGCCAGAAAGGAACATGAGAAAATAAAGGGTCAAAAAGAGACTGAGCAATTGCCTTAGAAAAAGCCAAACTCACTCATCTAATTAACAATAAAGTACCTATTGCCTGCCATCTTGAGCTCTATTCTGGGCACCAGACTGTGTAAGAGTAACTGATCCTTGCGGGGAGGTGCTATGTGGAGAGGGAAACCTCCAGGCACATCGCTTGACCACTCATTCCTGTAACAGGACTTCTCTGGGACCTTTTGTAACTTATGGAACATACCAGACAGGAACCTAATACAGTGAAAGGGGAAAATCTTAACTGACCATGTATTCCACATAGAAGCCTTTTTTCCTCCAGGAAAAAAGCTGTAGTTTCAATAGTCTAGTTGTAGTGGGACTGGGGATGCAGTTGGGTAGCAGAGTTCCGGCTTAGTGTCTGTCCTAGCTTCTTTTCCTGTCGCTGTGATGAAATCCTCTGACAAAAGCAATTCAAGAGAGACTTAGATTCTGGCTCACAGTTCATCATGGCAGGAGAGTCAAGTTGGCAGCAGGGGCTTGAAGCAGTTGGTCACATCTCATTTACAGTTGAAAATCAGACGTTAGCAACAAACATGTATTTCACTCGGCTCCCTTTCTTTTTTTTACAGCCCAGAATCCCAGACAGAGTAGGCAGGTCTTCCCAGCTCAATAAATGCAACCAAGATAATATTCCATAGGCATGCAGAGGCCCATTTCCTAAAGTCAATTTGACAACACTAACCATCACACCTAGCATGCAAGGCCCTGGACTTGCTCCTCCGTGCCCTCCACATATAAACAATTACAGTAATCCCAGTTGACAGTCTACCAAAGTACATGACAAAAATGCTCACCTCCAAGACTTTATGAGCAACTGAGTGTGGATTCTGCAACAAAGGCTAAAATAATCTAGGGCTACAATTAGTTTGAGTAAGTCCTCAATACACTTGCTTCTTTAGGATAAAGACAGGGCCAGGGAAAGAGTTGAGTACTCAATATGCAAGCAGAACTTGAGTTCGATTCCTCAGTACCCACTTAAAAAGCTGAGTGACTGCCTGTACACCTGTGGTGAGTCAGAGACAAGAGGATCGATCACTGGGGACTACGGGCCACCAGCCTAGTTCCAGGTTCAGCAAAAGACCCTATCTCAAAAGAGTAAGCAGAGAGCAAGAGGTTAGGATGCTAAGCATCCTACTCTGGCCTTCTAGTGCACACACCCATATACATACCCCATACAGTCATATACCACACATACATACACTAAGGTAAACTACAGAAAAGATGAACTACATAGATGCAGGAATGTCCATGATATAAGTGACCAAAAAGAAAAAAAAAATCAAGGTAGTACAGGTAGTACCTAATTGTAAGTTCATTTTCTTCATTTTAAAACCTGTTCCAATTTTTTTTTAGATGTGTTCATCTCTGAATGTTTCACCTTCATGTATATCTGTATATCACCTGTATGCCTGGTGCCTTCCAAGTCAGAGAGGGTATCAAGTACCCTAGAATCAGAAACATGGGTGGTTGTGAGCCACCATGTAGGTGCTGGCAATCAAACACAGGTCCCCCCACAAGAAAAACAAGTGCTCATAACCCTTGAGCCATCCCTTCAGCTCTGTTGCAATGCTTTCAAATACTAAAGAACATTCATTCAGAAAAAAACCAAAACTATACATTACCCAATTAGTATCTGTTGATGCCTCAAGGTATGAATATAGATCTTTAAAAAAAAAAAAACTTCCAAAGGTTTTAGTATCTGGACAGAGGAATCTGATGGGAGCTACTTTCTTTTGACTTGGGATAAGAGAAATTCAGAATGCATATTTGTGGGGGAAAGCCAAATTGCTTCCACCTCTACATAGCTTATTCCAAGCACTAAAAATCAAGTGTTTAAAACTGTGTGGTGGTGCACATCTTTAATCCAGCACTCGAGGCTGAGTTGAGGCCAATCTAAAGTCTACAAAGTTGTTCCAGGACAGCCAGTGCTACACAGAGAAACCTGTCTCAAAAACAAAAAACCACCAATGTTTAAACCAAGCATGGTGACACATGCCTTTTAATTCTAGCACTTAGAAGGCAGAGGCAAGAGCTCTGGCTTTGAGTTTCAGGCCAGCTACATTGTGACCCTCTAAAGAATATAAAAAAAGTGCTTATAATTTATTTGTATATCATAAGACAGTGCAATTAAGTAACACTAGTATATTTTGAAACAAAAATCTGTTAAACTCTAATCGGCAGTCACTAATAAATTCGACCTATAAAATCCTACTTATAACATCCTGGTACTTGCCCTCTTGTGCCTGTGCTGGATAGACCCCAGGGCAAGGCCTCCTGCAGGGAAGGAAAGCACTCATTGACATATGCCCCAGGCCCTATTTAGCTTTATTTCAAGACTTTTTAAAGCTTGAGCATTTTCCTCTCATCTTAAGACTGGGATTCCTGAATCTTCAGCATGTCTTTTCTTAGAATTTAGTACTCCAGTTTACCCAGCCCTCCCCTCTCCTGCCCTGATAGGTCTCACATCTGGCCCCAGCCTTAGGCTGCCCTCTGCTGGATATGACTTCAATCTGCTAGTATGTTTTATCCAAGTGGCAACACTCGACCACACACACAATTATTTTGCCCCAAATAAGGGAGAGGACTGAAATGGCTCAGCAGGTTAATGTGTTTACTGCCAAGTGTGACCTGAGTGGATTCCTGAATCCCACATTAGATCACATCTGATTGTGATCTAATGCTACAGTTGATCTCTGCTACACAAGCCAAGGAAAGAGCTTTTAAGTTTTTAGCCAGGTATGGCACATATAACCCCAGCACCTGGAAGGTAGAGGCCAGGGCCAAGTCCAAGTCTGGTTTGCATGGAAGACTGATGTCTCCCATTAAATGCTACTACAAAAATAAAGTTGATTAAAGCAAAAACAAAACCAGCCACATTAACTGAAACCTTACAACAAGCACTTGTCCTACCTTCAGAAGGTTCACTTAGTGTCTGTGTGGGGTAGCAGGACAGCATGAGTTCCAGGCCAGCCAGGACTAAAAAAGATTAAAAAGCAAAGTTTTCCCAGTCTGATTGTTAGCATCACAATCTTAGGAACATTGCTTATCCAGCCTCCAACAGTACTAGTAGCTGTGATGCCATGTAATTACAGGTATTATTTTCATTAGCAGGTGGTCTAATTCCTTCTGAAGGTCTTTCTTCCCTGAAGATTGAAGGTTAACAGGCTCATAGATACACAAGGCCAGAATAAAAACACCTTCCTAAAACCAATGCACTTTAGAAGCAAATTTGCAAATTTATCTTATGACAATTGTCACTAAATGCTGAGCATGATTAAGACCCAAGACTCATGCAAATAATGCATAAGAATCCTTTAGGACTGTTGCTAGTTTCTAAATCTTTCCGGTTGCACTAGAAAAAGTGATTCTAACTTAAGATACATCAGGGATGTAAACTACTGTTATTTTTAAGTTTTTGCCATGGGGGGCCTTAGTCCCAAATCTTCCAAACCCTAACCATCTTATCCCTTCATTTCCTTGAAACTTTCTCAAGCTCCATCCCAACTTAGCAGCCAGTAAATTCTACAAAGAGGAAAAGAACCCTTAGGCTGGGAACCTGTGTCTGTTCACTAGAATTTACCTCTCAAGCTGTTATAGCACATAGCCAGTCATTTTTTAAGCAGGTCTCTCTAGCCCTGGGTTCCCAGGATATGCTAAGCCACACCTTTCTCCAGTGAGGAGCTCTGGACACAGCAGGCCTAATTTTAGGTTTAGATCTTGAAGCCTGACTCCCTCATTTCTCAAACTAAGATCAAAGTTCATTTCTAAAGCATGTGTCTAATTTGTTAACACCAGTCTTCACGAACAGCGACCCCATTTTATAGCAGCAAACAAAAAACAAGGAGAAAAATGAGGCAAAGTTTTTATTTATTCATTTCTTGCACTTGAAGTACTCCTCGATGACATCCTTGGCCTGAGATTCTTTGCCATAGTCCTTAAAAAAATTAGATGCAAATTACTTTTCAATATTAAGTTCTTTTAAGCTACCTAATTCAGACTTCAGTGCTTCCCAGCATTTTAACACTGTAGCCATTTTCAGGGACCTTAAAGACTTCAGCTGTCCTTAAGGCTCGTAACATGGCATCACTATTGCCAGCCATCTCTAAATTTCTGCAGAAGCACATTGAGATAAGCAGATTAATTGGCTGGCTCAAATTATGGTTTATCTTTAAGCACAGAAATCATAAGCCAAGCCTGCTAACATATTTTTTCTCCCATTAAAGGGCTCTCAGTATTTCAAAAGATCAAAGCCAGACTTACCTTAACCACTACACAACTGCAACCAACCACTTTCCGTGGTTTCCCCTCTCGATCGATTTTACAGAGGCCTACCCATTCCCCTAGTTTCTTGTTGTCATCAACCTACAAAAACAGAAACTATTATTAGCAGGCATTAAAGCTACTGAAAACTGAAGATCAAGTCCCAAAGGTGGCTGTGTCAGAAGGGTGACATGGCAGTTTCCTCACTGCAGTTCAGTAGAGGGAGCCAGTTGTCATCATGTACAGCTCACCAACTATCAATAAACAACCCTTCGTTCCACAGTATCAAAATTACCATGTAGTTCTGGATGTACAGAAGCTTTAAACATCAAGGTCCAGATAGTATTTATCTCCACCTGCGACTCAATACTATCTATCACTAAGGCATCTCCTGAAGTTAAGAAAACACTACTTACCTTAATTAGGTTGATTTGGTGCTCAGCACAAAGTGCCTCCACCAACTTGACATACATAGGCTCATCACAATTGGATGCGAGCACACAGAGATGGGCTTGGCGCCTAAAACACAAAATTTAAAGGTGAAACCACAGCTCTTAAGTCTCAGGTCAATGCATCTTCACTAGCTATACTAGCAAAACCCAACACAAACCACACGTTAATGTGTACCGAACTGCTACAAGTCAATTAAGTACTGAGTTTATTTTCAGCTAATTTACCTGTACAAGCATTAACCTGTTCTTAGTTATGCATCCCTCAGATAACATTTGTTTGGAGAAGCTATGGCCTAAGGAAACCATGACCACTTTCATGTTATGTAACACATCAAAAGTTTCAATTAAAAAGTAGAAGACAAAGCAGTATTGTACAGTAAGCACTGTTCACCATTCACAGCCGGATCTGCGGTGCCCACCAGGATTCAAGTATTCGTTTATACTCCAACGAATTCAACAGTTAAAATTACCAGACTTTTCCTCAAGCTGAAAGACAGGCAGCATGCATGCATAAGCTTAAGGACCACAATGAAAATAGACAGGAATTGCTGGTGTATTTCCCAGATGCTGCTGCAATACCTCTACTGAATTGAACACGTAAACTAGCAAACTAGCTGAAATTCCCCGTCTTGTCTTTTAGCAAAACTGAGTGCCCCTGTGAGCTACAGGTTTGTCAGACTATTATGTCTCACCCATGAAGGGGGTGAAGGGGTATCCGACAATCACAAGTCATCATTCAAACTCTGTAGTTTTACAAACGCCAACTACGGCTCACCCCCAGTCCACACAGCAACCCACGCATCTCAAGTGGGCTAGAGAGATCTGAGTTGATACCTTTTCCTAGGTTTCCTGTTGAACGGATGCCACTCAGAACTTTTGTGCTAACCGCATGAACGTCACGCTCGCTTCCCATGGCTGCAGTCTTTGTTCCGGCTGCAACAACCCACAGTTACTGAGACTGAGACACGTACTTGTCTAAGGCTTTGGCAGCTTCGCGGATGCCACGTGCTAGGCCATCGTGGATGAGGGCGGTCTTCAGCACCTCTTGTAGAGCAGTATTGACGTCCATTACACCTCCAGCAGCAATGCTGAAAGGCAGTCAGAACACCGTGTTAGAATCCTCGGCAGGGGCCCTGAGAACAGCCCCAGCCCCGCAGGAGGGCCCACGCCCCAACCGGGGCCCATCAGCTCACCCTTCCTCGGCCATGACGGTGGATTACGGGTGAGGCCGAATCTTGAACGCACTGAAAGACAAAAAACCAGCAGTAAAAAAAAAACGTTTCCGTCGGACCCCAGACACGTCTCACACGTTTACAACCCAAACTAACAGAACAGGCGGTCCGCAAAGTCCACGTTTCAGCTAGACTCACCCCGAGCCTCCGCCTCCGCGCGACTCGGCGGCGGCAGGGGAAAAGGCCGCTGGCGGCCGCATGACGGTATTTAAGCGCTCTGCTGGACGCCTTTGCGCATGTGCATCTCCTCCCACTAGAAAGGTGGCTCCCGCGGGTGCCGGGCCTTAGGAGTTTCTACTTCCGGCTTCAGGAGCCTCCGCGGTAAGGACGCGGCGGGGGCTTCCTCCGAGCCAGTTTTAGGAACGCGCAACAGGCAGGACGGCGGACAGCCTGTGCCCGGGGGGCGTGGCCCGCGGAGGCCCCCGCCAGCTCCTTCTACGGAATGCGGGAAGGGCCAAACGTACTGCCGCTTCCTCCGCCGCGTTACTAAATTCGTTTCAAAAGCCTTTCTGTGTCGTTTCTTGTAGTTTCCTGTTGGCAACGCTGTCCGATGAGGGCTGAGCCCTCACCGGAGGACACAATCTGGCCCCTTGTTTCTAAGCCTTTCTGAGTTTCTGTGAATGGGGCAGTCTGTGGGCTGCTTCGCAAATCCCACTTCCCTGGCAACGTGTTTGAGGAGACGATCCAGCCAGCCCCAGCTGGTCCTGAGAGCAGCCGGTTCTAATCGAACAGTTAGGTTCGGATCCTAGATTGTCGCAGCTTCACAGAAACTGGGATCCCTGAGGTGCGTGTTGCACTCCCACTGTGGGTCTATCACGATCCAAGCCCCGTGTTGTAGGTGGGGAAAATCCTGGCATTGAAAACTCCCACAGTCCACCCAGGACTTGGCCACCGGGAATGGAATTCCAGGACCTTAAAGCCGGCTCCCGCCCGCGTCGACAAAAACACTTTAATGTTGAAGGAATCGCCGATTCTTCTACCTCCAAAGCAAATACACAAGACAACTTCTCTCCCTGACGATATGCCCAAGCCAGTCAGAGCTTCCAATGGCCAACCCCGTGGATACGGTGATCATGGTCAGGCTCATGAGTTTCATGAGAATTTCAGAAAATTGGTGGAGTTCCTTCTTAGCTTTTCTATTAAACGTTTGAGTTTCACCTTTAAAGCCTTACGTTTGCTTTCTTACCTCTGTAATTTAAAAAAAGGAAAAGTTATTTGATAGCAGGTGGTTACTGTCTCGGCGCATATTTTCTGTCAGGGTTTATTTCATTTTAATTTTTCTTTAAAAATGATAATCTGGCTGGGCGGTGGCGGCGCACGCCTTTAATCCCAGCACTCAGGAGGCAGAGCCAGGCAGATTTCTGTGAGATCGGGGGCAGCCTGGTCTACAGAGCGAGATCCAGGACAGGAACCAAAACTACACAGAGAACCAAAACTACTCGAAAAACCAGATAGATAGATAGATAGATACATAGATAGATACATAGATAGATACATAGATAGATAGATAGATAGATAGATAGATAGATAGATAGATAGATAGATGATAGATACCAAAACTACACAGAGAACCAAAACTACTCGAAAAACCAAATAAATAAATAGATACATACATACATACATACATAAAATTGCTGATACTTAAAAATGCCTGCATTTTTAAAGATAATGCTAGTATTTTAGCCAAAGATTAAAATATCAAATGCTGTGGTGTTGTGGGGTGGAGATGATGACTTTGGGTCTATGGCAGCATTTTTTTGAAAAGGACTTGAACTAAAGAGTCCCAGGCAGCTAAATACAGGAGAGTGCAAAGCGGCAGGCATATGTGCCTTTTGACTCTTTGGGAAGAGAGTTTGAAACATTACATAGTCGGGAAAGAATGCGGTAAGTAGAGTTTAAGTAATTTCCATAATATAAAGGTATTAAAAGTTAATGTGTCAAACCAGACATATGGTGCAAGCCTTTAATCTTACTACTTGAGGACAGAGGCAAGTACGTACCTGTGAGTTCCAGGTCAGCCAGGGCTAAATAGAATATGTCTAATACCAAAAAAAAAAAAAAAAAAAAAAAAAAAAAAAGTGAATGTGTTAAGCATATTAGATTTCTTTTCCCAGAAGACACTAGTTGGTAAAGATGGAAATGTAAATGGAGAAAACAATAAATGAGGAGTGTGTTTATACTAAGAAAAAAATAGTTAAGTGCTTTTAGCTTAGTGTCTAAATTTTTATGTGTTCCCAGCACAGTACAAACCAGTTCAGACTTGATTTCTCTCCAGACCTTTGATGGTGGTGGCTCTCTGTCCTAATAGTCCACTCTAATAAATGCCTTTCAGTCAGCAGGAAGCCTTTAGCAACTGAAACTCCCCCTTTTTAATCCTAGTTAGATAGGCATTCTATATAATTAATGAGCACACTTGTGAGGAAGAATTTTTTTTTTTGGTTTTTCGATATAGATTCTCCTACTTCATACTCTTTAAAGTTAGACTCTCAATTTTAGATATTGGCAAAAGTGACAGAAAAAATGTATGTAGAGGTTAGTGTCTCTTAGCCAACACATTCTAGCTTTTACATAAATATATGCAAAACCCAGAGGTGGGTGCACATGCCTTTAATTCCAGTATTCATGAGGCAGAAGCAGGTGGATCTCTTGAGTTTGAGGCCAGCCTGGTCTACAGAGTGAGTTCCAGGACAGCCAGGACTGTTTCACAAAGAAACCCTGTCTTGTAAAAACAAAACATAATAAATAAATTTATATTTATAATTAATATTTTATACTTACATAATATTTACAATTAATTAGTTAATCAATCTTGGGTTATTTTGATACAAGGTTTCTCTGTGTAACAGGCCTGGTTGTCCTGGAACTTGCTTTGTAGACCAGGCTGGCTTCAAACGAACAGAGATCTGCCTCTGTCTTTCCTCCTAAGTGCTGGGATTAAAGGCATGCATCTTGAACAGAGCTTTTGCTAAGCATACAAAAGGAGCCTGCACATCAACAGTGCCACAAGAATAAACCTCTTACTATTGATGAAGAAAGATGATTGTAATACATCACATTCTCCCAAAGTATCAATAAAATAAACGTGTTATTTTAAAAAATAATAATATTTCCCAGAATTCGGGAGGCTGAGGCAGGCAGATCTCTGTGAGTTCATGGCCATCCTGGCCTACAAACTGAGTTCCAGGACATCTAGGGCTATTATCTAGAGAAACCTTGTATCAAAAAACAGAAACAAAAGATTGATTAATTAATTTAAAATTATTTTTAAAAGTAAGTGAGGCTGGGGCTATAATATAATACAGTAGTAGAGTATGTGCCTGGCCTGTTTTAGACCCTAGTGCCATATTCACATTCATACTATAATAACAGGAATGAATAATGATAGGAAATTTTGTTTAGCATTTCATAAATACCACCTAATATGCTGGCTTCTTTATTTCATTCCTTGTCATAGAGACCTATGCTGTATGGTTTTGAGTGTTAAGGTCCTACAACTTAGAACCACATGAGAAGAAAGCCCCAATTGAGAAATTGCTTAGATGAAGTTGGCCTCTGGGAGATTGTATTGATTGTTAATTGATGTGGGAAGACCAGGCCCACAGTGGGTGGTACAATTCCCTGAGCAGGGTTCCTGAACTGTGCATTCCATGCTTTCTGTTCTTTTCTATGAACTACTATGCTTGAGTTCCTCCTTGACTCCCTTCAGTGATGCACTGAAACCTAGAATTGTAAGCCAAGTAAGGCCCTCTCTCCCCTCAGTTGCTTTTGGTCAAGGTATGTATCACAGCAACAGAAATGAAATTTGAACAAGACCCTGAGTGACAGTGTCAGTATTAGTATTATTAAATAAGGTGGGAGCATCATGGTGCAGGCCTAAAATTGTAGAATGCCAAAGGTTGTGACATGAGAATCAAGTTTTAACCACACAAAATTTTGAGGCCAGTTTAGGCTGCCTAATGAGACCCTGTCTCAAAAACTAAAAATAATGATACAATGATGATGATGAACTTTTTTAAAATGAAACCAGACAGAGAAAGTTTCTCTGTTCTCCAGGTCAGGGACAGACTGACAGGAAGCTGGCCTTTCATGACAGTGAACTCCAAAGCATTTGCACCGAATGCCTTAGCCATTTAAATAATACCTAAATGTGAGCAGGGATCATTGGTGGTTCAAGGATTCCTCTTCAGATCACAATTTGACAGTAATAGAGCTGCTCCTGTCTCACTGTGCTAAAAATTTACATAGATGGAAAAATACTACAAGTTGTTGTAGAATATAATTTTAAGATATGTTACATTTGTTTGTGCTTTGGAACATTTGTTTAATGATGCAAAGATGAGTTGCATTCTTTTAGGTTGCATTTGTTTAACTCTGTGAAGCTGTGTTATTTTGTCTATCTAAAACACCTGATGGTCTAATAAAGAGCTGAATGGCCAATAGTGAGGCAGGAAAGGGAAATAGACAGGGTTGGCAGGCAGAGAGAATAAATAGAAGGGGAAATCTGGGAGGAAAGAAGAAAGAACAAAAGAACAAGGAGAGGAGAATGCTAGGGACCAGCCACCCAGCAACACAGCCACACAGCCACACAGCCATCAAGCTACAAAGTAAGAGTCAAAGTAAGATATACAGAAGTAAGAAAAGGAAAAAGCCCAGGAGTAAAAGGTAGACAGGATAATTTAAATTTAAGAAAAACTGGCAAGAAACAAGCCAAGCTAAGGCTGGGCATTCATAAGAAATAATAACCTCCCTGTGAGACTTATTTGAGAACAGGATAGTGAGCCCTCCAAAAGAGTAAAGAACAAAAACAACAGCAATTAGACAGGAAAAGAGCAGCAGGAATCTAGATTTCAGAATCATCTAAATATAGCTGTGGTTTGCTAGAGCACGCATAACAAAAGAAACCATATACTTAATGTTTGAAAACACACAAATGCATTACCTCATACCCTAGCTCCATTCTAAGACTGTGAGAGTCAGCTGCATGTCTCCTTCCTGGCTCCTGGACATCGTTAGTCTGGTTTCTTGACTATTTTAGCAAAGACCCAACCCTCCTCACGTCACATTCTTCCTGTGTGTGTTTGTCTATCTTTGTGTCTGAAGTTTTTCTTTTTTTTTGAATACCAGTCAGATTAGGAGGTCCGCCTTGCTCCAGGTGATCTCATCTTAATTATAAACCCTATTCAAAAATCAAGGTTTGCCGGGTGGTGGTGGCGCACGCCTTTAATCCCAGCACTCGGGAGGCAGAGCCAGGCGGATCTCTGTGAGCTCGAGGCCAGCCTGGTCTACAACGCGAGATCCAGGAAAAGTGCAAAGCTACACAGAGAAACCCTGTCTCGAAAAACCAAAAAAAAAAAAAAAAAATCAAGGTTTATCTGAGGTGCTTAAGGGTTAGGACTTTCAATGTGAATTTTTAGGGAACACAGCTCAACTTTTCCCAGTGTCAAAGAAGAAAGGGATGTAAAATAGATTAAGCAGGAGGAAGGATCTTTGATTTGGACTGGAAAAAATATTAGACAATAAAGAGGTCTTGGAAGATGGCCCTATGAGTAAAAGTGCAAGTGTGAGAAACTGAGTTCAAATCCTCAGGACTCTGGTAAAAGCCAGACACAGCATAGATGTATGTAATTGTAAACTCTTATGGAGAGGTAGGGAATGAATGGTAGAATTGGAGGACCCCCAGAAGAACAAGAGCCACCTAGCCTGGCATACGCAGTGGGAAAACAAAAAACAAGAAAATGAACATATCTCAAACAAGACCAAAGATTGAGGACCAACACCCAACTTACCCATCCCCTGACATTCGTGCCATAGTACATGCATGAATGTGCACACACATAGATCACTTAATTTTTAAAGTAAAAACTAGGTTAAAAAACAAACAGCCGGGCGGTGGTGGCGCACGCCTTTAATCCCAGCACACGGGAGGCAGAGCCAGGCGGATCTCTGTGAGTTCGAGGCCAGCCTGGGCTACCAAGTGAGTTCCAGGAGAGGCACAAAGCTACACAGAGAAACCCTGTCTCGAAAAACCAAAAAAAAAAAAAAAAAAAAAAAAAAAAAAAAAAAAAAAAAAACAAACAAACAACAAATGAACAAAGCAAGATGTAGTGGTTCCCACCTTTAATCTCAGCATTTGAGAAGCTGAGACAGGTGGATCACTGATTGCCAGGACAGCTAGGGCCTCATAGATAGACTCTGCCTCAAATACACCAAGAAAAAAAAGTAAAAATTATAAAGAATTGAACAAGAAAATAGAGCTGGGTAATGAAGCTGGGCTAAGGTACCCAAACTGATATATCATGGGCCCAGCTCAGATGAGTTAAAATTCCAGCTCATTTTGTAGCTAACCTCTGGCAGGTTATTCATAGTCCAGCAAAAAGGCTGCTATTGCTATAATATTGTAAGAACTAACTGAGATAGTGGCATAAAGTGCTCATTTGCCTTGTACAGAACTTTATATGAAAATGTATGGGAAGGAAGTGGTTTGGGTGGTAGAATGCTGGTGTAGATAACATGCATGAGGTCCTGCTCTCTATTGCTTAGCACTGAGTAAAACTGGGACTGGTGGCCCACTATAGCAATCCCAGCATTCAGAATGTAGAGGCAGGGCCTTCAGGAGTTCAAGGTCATCCTCAACTACATAGCAAGTTTAAGGCCAGCTTGAACTACATGAGACCGTGTGTCAAAAACAACAAAATGGTTTTAATGATCTAAAATGCTTGATTAGTTTACTTATTGTTCAATCAATGGAAAGTAGGCTGCACCACCACTAGCCTTAGACTGAAACTGGGCTTCATTCTGAGGCAGGTGTGTTGATACAGCCCTGTTCCTCAGGACCTGGGAAGTAAAGGCAAGAGGACCAGCATTGCAAGGCCAACCCTCAGCTACGTAGCAAGTTTGAATCCAGCGTAGGCTACATAAGACCCTGTCTCAAACAAACAAAATCCTGGTCCCTAGGTATTTCAACAGAGTGAAGTAAGGAATTGAATGACGCACCCTTAGGGATTCTTCTGGTTGGAACAGTTTTAACTTAGTAGGCGCTGCACACCTATGCTGTCTGCCATCCATGTTCTGATTTCTCTTAGCTGGTGCTAGTGCCAACCTTGTCCTTGTGTGCCCAGATTGCAGAAGAGCTCTGTATTTGTAACCTCCTGGCTTCATCTTTTCAATGCTAGGCAAAGAAATCATGGTCACTGTAGTAAATGTGAAAAATGCTAGATGTGGTGGCATGCGTGGTTCATCCCAGCACTTGGGAGGCAGAGCAGGAGAATCTCTATGAATTCTAGAACAGCCTGGTCTACGTAGTGAGTTCTAGGACAGCCAGGACTATATATATAGAGAGAGAGACCTTGTCTCAAAAGAAAGAAAGGAAGGAAGGAGGGAGAGAGTGGGAGGGAGGGACAGAGGGGGCAGGGAAGAAAGGAAAGGCAAAAAATACTATATTGGTTATAATTCTTTTCACATGTGAGACTAGTTTATGACCAACAGGAAAAAAAGTAAATATATAAGTAAATAAACAGATGAATAAATAACGTATTAGAAAGCTACTGGAGCCGGGCGGTGGTGGCGCACGCCTTTAATCCCAGCACTCGGGAGGCAGAGCCAGGCGGATCTCTGTGAGTTCGAGGCCAGCCTGGGCTACCAAGTGAGTCCCAGGAAAGGCTCAAAGCTACACAGAGAAACCCTGTCTCGAAAAACCAAAAAAAAAAAAAAAAAAAAAAAAAAAAAAAAAAAAAGAAAGCTACTGGATATCTCAGAAAAGTCTTGATGACCAGTCAGGTCTGAGGGTCATTAGTGTAAAATCATCCTGGGAATCTTAGGAAGTCTTCAAAAAAAAAAATCTTAAAATAATTTTCTAGGTGGGAACTTATCACCCTATCCCTCATAGGTGCTTAGATTATTAAAACAGTAAATTGTTATTAGTAGGAAGTTCTGTGGACCTACCTGTCCTGCAGATGACAAATATAACCCTGAAAGTGTGCAAACAAAACAAAACAAAAGAATTGCCTGATTATACTGAGGACCATGACCAAAAGCTGATAGAATTTGGGGGAAAAATGAGGATGCAAGCAAAAAATAAAATAAAATAAATACGGATGAGTATGCAGACTGGGAGAGAGGATTGGTTCTGACTACTTTTATCTTTATGCATAAAGGTATAGATTTAATGTATGGTCTATATAGTGGAGGGGCCAGGGGAGAAAAGAATGAGGTAGTGGTATTTGAATGAATATTGTATAAAAGCATACCAACTTTGATGAGAACTTAAGTTTACAGATTAAAGAAGTACAAATTCCCTCAGAATGATGGAAACACACACCCTGCTCTTATGTCCCCTAGGCACATAAGTAAGCTATTGAAACCCAAAGATAAAGAGAACATTTTAAGAGCAGCTAAATCAAAGTGGGAGGGGTGTATTACATACAAGAGAACAATAATACAAACACAAAATTCCATTAATTTCTTTGAAGAAATGAAAAGGACCAAATGACAATAGATTCGCATTTTGCAAGGCCAAGAGACAACTTCCTGTGTATATCTCTATACTCAACAAAGACCCTTCATAAATGAAGTCATCCAGAAAGAAACAAAACAAAAAGAATTCTCCACCAGATGACTCATACTTGAAATGATATAGGAAAATAATTCATGCTGGAGGGAAATGACATGTGATAGAAAGTTCCAGAATGACAAGCATTGGAAACGGTAAATAGGAGAGTACATGTAAAAAGTTCTTTTTCCTCACAGTTAAGAAAATGGGGGCAGGAGAGGGGCTGAAGATATAGCTCATTGATTAAAAGCACTGGCTACTCTTCCAGAAGACCTGGGTTCAATTCCCAGTACCCACGTGGCAGCTCACAACTGTCTATAACTCCAGTTCCAGGGGACCCAACACCCTCACATAGATATACATGCAGGCAAAACACCAACGCACATAAAAAAGATTTATCATTTGTTTTAAAAAAGAAAATGTGATCTTTTAAGACAAATACTGTAGTATTGCATAACGGACTTTATGTATTGGTAGGTATGATACACAGGACAACTGGAGCCCAAAGGATGGAGGAAGAGGAGGTGGGTCCTGGGTAAAATGATTCATAAAGTTTCAAGGTTCATAATGAGGGCCATGTGTAAAATGACAGAGTTGTTCAGGAAGTGATATAATATTACCAATAAGTAGACCAGAAAAGTTAAAACTGGGTATTGTGATGCCCAGTTAATCCCTGCCCCTACTGAACAATGTTTTACAAAGCTAATGGGCTAGGGAAACCGTGATGATATTTTGTTGTACTCTAATAAAACTTGCCTGAGGATCAGAGGACAGAGCTAGCCACAGAGTTAGCCACAGAGGCCAGGCTGTAGTGGCATACAACTTTAATCCTAGCACTCAGGAGACAGAGATTTGTCTGGATCTCTGTGAGTTCAAAGCCACCCTGGACTACACAAGATTAATCCCATTTAAAAGAGAAACAGCCAGGCAGTGGTGGCACACACCTTTAATTCCAGTATTTGGGAGTCACATACCTTTTATCCCAGCACTAGGAAGGTTGAGACAAGAAGTGATATGGCGGGGGGGGGGGGGGGGGGGGGGGGGGGGGGGGGGGGGGGAGAAAGGAATATAAATAAGGTGGGAGGAGGCAGGAATTAGGCCTTCCAGCTGAGGACTCAAGTATATTCAGACAGAGGATTTGTGTAGTTGGCGAGGTAAAAGGTGACCGTGACTTGTTTCTTTGTCTCTCTAATCTTTCAGCATATGCGTCAATCTCTGACTCTGGCTTTTTATTTTAAGACCATTTAGGATTTGTGCAACAGGAGACAGCTTAGACCGTGAAGGCCTGCCACACAAGAATGAGGACCTGAGTTCAGCTGCACACAGAAGAGACCAGCTGGGATGGAGCACACTTGTAATCCCAGTGCTGGGAGGCAGAGACGACACACAGGAAATGGTGAAGTGGTGAACTTAAGCTCTGTCATGTCAGTGCTAACTTTAAATATAAATAGATTATCGGATCTCATTAAAAGTCAAGATAATCAGGGTGAATTTTTCTAAATTCTATTCTGTCTATAAGATAATTCATTTTCTTTAAAAAAAAGTTTTATTGCATTTATTTATTGTGTGTATTTTTGTATGTGGGCACAGGTCCTTTGGGTTTTGAGTACAGGTCTGAGGATAGCCTGAGAGAGTGAATTCTCTCCTACTGTGTGGTTCCTGGGGATTGAACTCCTGTCCATCAGGCTTAACATCAAACACCTTCATCCTCTGTGCCGTCTCACCAGCCCCTGTTCACTTTAAACATTAAGAGGTACCCTAAAAGTGAAAGGACAGGAAAGGACTGCCATATACCTAACAATTTCAGGAAACTGTCATGACTGTTACTACCAGATAAATATAGTTCAGGAATAGTACTAATGATATGGTGCACAGGCAAAAGTAACTTTGTAGGAAAGCCAGACGAATCACTCGTGTGTGTGTGTGTGTGTGTGTGTGTGTGTGTGTGTGTGTGTGTGTGTGTGTGTGTTGTGTATGTATACACCAGAACTAGAAACTCTGATAGAATTAAATGGTATAATAAACAAGTATACAAAGGAGAATGCATCCTGACCAAATTGGATTTGTCCCAAGCATGCAACATCATATTAATAGTAGATGACTGACCACTGTCATTAACCATGTTAATGAAATGAAAGCATTTTCATAAAAAATTCAGAAACGCCATCTAATAAAATTCAATTTGCCACACATTGAGACTAGAAGGGAGTGTGCTGACACACTAATTCCACCTCACTGAACCCGAGATTAGGCCTCTGCCCTATAGAAAGTGGGGTTTGTTTGTTTGTTTGTTTGTTTGTTTGTTTGTTTTTTAATTTTTTTCTTTTTCTTTTTAATATTTGTTATGTATACAGTGTTCTGCTTGCATGTGTCCCTGCAGGCCAGAAGAGAGCACCAGATCTCATTACAGACGGTTGTGAGCCACCATGTGGGTGCTGGGAAGTGAACTCAGGACTTCTGGAAGAGCAGCCAGTGCTCTTAACCTCTGAGCCATCTCTCTAGCTTTTGTCTTCTTTTTACTAAAAAGTGTGTAGCAATTTGTTATAACCACCACAGAAAATTAAATAAAGTAAAGATGGATCATGACTTATAATTACTTTAGCTTTAGGATGGTGTGAAAGGGTTGACAAGATGACTCTGGAGACAAAGGCACTTACAAGCCAAGGTGATGACACACATCCTAGAAGGAGGGACCCACGTGGTGGAAGGAGACAAGTGACTCCCAAAGGCTGTCCTCTAACCCCAACATGCACACCATGGTACATGCATGCCCTCCCCATCAGTACTTCGTCTTTCAAAGATAGTAGGAAAGCAGTATTCACTCAACAGAAATTGAACTTGGAATTTGGATTTTTTTTTCTGACCAGCAATTTGCCTTCTTGAGGTTCTAGGCAACAGCATAGAGCTGAAATTTCCAGTAACAACCCCAGGGGAAACAGTGGCCACGACAGTGTGCAGTGCTGGCAAGCTGTGGTGTTCAGGGGCCAAGGCTGGATATTCCCAGATTCTTGGTCTCTTATTCAAGAATGAATCAAACGTCCACACAGATTACAAGCAGTGAGGAAATTTTCTTTAAAGCAAAGTGATAGGACAAGAGAAGCAGGCTACATGAGTCAAGATACTAAAGGGTCCTGGTGATTGTTTGGGGTTTCTTTTTATGGAATTAAAGAGGAGAATCTGGGCTGGTACATATTACAGTGAGGGTGGAGTCTCTATTTTGATTGATAGATTTAGTCATAGAATAAATTTTCTACTTTATATATATCCCTCCCCATAATGCATCTAATTCTATTTTTTTATTATTATAAAAATTATAAATTGATTTATTTATGTGTATAAGTGTTGCCAGCATGTATGTCTGTGCACCATGTCCATGCAGTGCCTGCAGAGACCAGAAGAGGGGGTCTGATACCCTTGAACTGGAGTTATATGATGGGTGATGCCATTCTGTATGCTGTGAATATGTGTTGCTCTGATTGGTTGATAAATAAAGCTGTTTGGCCAATGGTGAGGCAGAATAAGGTTAGGCGGGACATTCTAACTAGAGAGAGAGGAAGGAGAAAGAGAGCAGAGGAGACACTGCTAGCTGCCTCCAGGAGAAGCAAGATATAAAGTACCAGTAAGCCACAAGCCACATGACAAAGTATAGATTTATAGAAATGGGTTAATTTAAGATGTAAGAGCTAGCTAGAGAGAAGACTGAGCCATTGGCCATGCAATTTGTAATTGATATAAGCCTCTATGTGTTTACTCGGATCTGAGTGGCTGCAGGACCCGGCTGGAAATATAGGTAGATGTAAGCCACCATGTGGGTGCTAGGAATGGAGCCCAGGTCCTCTAGAAGAATAGCCAGTGCTCTTAACTACTAAGTCATCTCTCCAGCCCAGTGCATATATTTCAGTCAGGTACACCCAATTATGCAAAGGCATGAAGGGGTAAGTAGGAAATTTCCACCTGAAAGTTCTCTTGAGAGCACAAGTTTGCCTCATGCATGTATCCAAAACTAGTTCACCCTGGATCAGTCCCCTAGATAAACTGAATAAAAAAGAATGGAATATGTCTAACTTTGATGGTTGGGAAAGCAAGAAGAAACTTATCCCACGGTTGAGAGAGGAGGATATGCCAGGTGCATTACTCAAAGAGAAGTGTGCGTAAAATCCAAGTCAACTCAGCTTGCTAAGAGTTTTATTTAACTCTTAAATAAAAGAGCAAGAACTTGGAATCCCCTGGTCCAGACCCTAAGAAGCAGTGATAGGTAGACACATTTGAGGGGGACACAAGTTCCACAGTACTCACCTGCAGGTCAGAGGACAATGTCGGGGATTTGGTTCTCTCCTACCGTGTGGATCCCAGGGATGGAACTTGGGTCGTAGTGTTGGACAGTAAGTACACTTACCTTCTCAGCCATCTTGCAGGCCCAAGTGTATAATTTTAAAAAGACACACACACACACACACACACACACACACACACACACACACACACACACGTAAGAATGGGTGCTGATGTGAGAGGGAAATAGAGAGAAAGAGAAAAATGGATGTCAATAGATATGAGAAAATTAGTTAAAAGGTTGCTAAGATAAAGTTAAGAAAAGTTCTAAAAGAGAATCAGAGAGAGAGAGAGAGAGAGAGAGATAGAGAGAGAGAGAGAGAGAGAGAGAGAGAGAGAGAGAGAGAGAGAGAGAGAAGAGAAGAGAAGAGAAGAGAAGAGAAGAGAAGAAGAAAAATAAATGACAGGACCAGTTTGGGTGACCCAACATCTGCAATTAATATCCGTACAGAAATTGAGTATTTTAAAAGAAAGAAGAAGGATCGTAAAAGAAATAATTGGAGGAAAATCTTCTGTGGGTAGAGGTTAGGTCAGAATGAGAACACACTTCAATGGCGCTGGCGGGACTGGAGAAATGGCTCCGTGGTTAAGAGCACTTACTGTCCTTCCAAAGGACTCAAGTTCAATTCCTAGCACCTGTGTGAGGTGGCTCATGACCATCCTTAACTCCATCTCCAGGGGATCCAACAGCCTCCTTTAGAACATACACACAGACCCACACAATAACCCTCCCTCCAGGAACCATGCAAGGCTCGCTTGGTCAAAGTACAGTCCTTTCCCAACGACTTTATTGTAGAACTGGTAGCACTGTAGTAACACATTAATCATGTCTATCATATCTGCTGGTAGGTAGGCGTGCTGTGTAAGAGGTTCATTCTTATTAAAATCCCATCGACTGCAATAGTGTACCTCTTCACCTTGGCCCATATTTCCAAACTTAAGTCCTTCCCAAATAATAAACAAGGAAAAGACAAAGTGGGAGCTAGATTTGTGCTGGGATACTTTGAGTGGAGAGAAAGGGAACACGTCCTTGCACCTCTTATCTCTAAGACGCACAACCAGGCAACTAGTTCATACAAGCCTTATGACCCGAGTTGTGGAGATGAAAAAAAAACGGACCTTGTCATCGAAAGAAAGACACAGCAAGGGAGCAAACAGTTTGTAATGCAGACGCCTGCATCCACAGAAAGTTCCCACAGCCAGGCTTGCTGGCGCTTATCCTTCTTTTTTTTTGGGGGGGGGGGGCGAGATTCGAGATAGGGATTTTCCGTGTAGTTTTGGTGCCTGTCCTGGAGCTCGCTCTGTAGACCATGCTGGCCTCGAACTCACAGGGATCCGCCTGGCTCTACCTCCCAAGTGCTGGAATTAAAGGTGTGCACCACCACCACCGGGCTCCTTTTCCTTCTTGCAAGCCTTTTTCTGCAGGTGTTACACAGTTTTGTTCACTTCCGTTTCTTTAGTGTCTGTCCTTCAGCGATCACACACACTGCCATTTCCACCCTTTAGGCACGAGCCTAGGTTTCTCTAAAGAGCACAAGATCTGATGTTCTCCTTTATATTCGGAACCCAGCAGCTGAGTCAGCGATCGGCACGGGCGGGGACCCCAGCTCCGCCCCTGCCCGCCCTCGCGCCCTTGGGTCCCCGGCTCCCGGGATCTGGAAGGATTTCACGCAGCCGGCGTGGATCTCCTCCTCTGGACCGGGAATGTGGAGTCCAGGCCCCGTAGAGCGTCCGCTGTCTGCGCATCCAGTCCGCGGCGGTTGAACCCCGAGTCTCCGGCGAACCGAAGCAGCGGCTCATGGACACAGCGGAGTCCCGGGCTCCTGCGGGGACAGGAGGTGACTGTGATCCGCGCAGTCGCGCGCTGCCGCTCGCTTCTGGCCTGTCTCTTTAACTAGGATCCAGTAGGCTTACTTTTGCTTTTTTTGTTTATTTTCCTGAGCCCTTCAACCAGGGTGGGGCCTGACAAGAGTATGGGGTGCAGGCCAGCATTTCTTTTCTCAGGTTTGAGGACTGGGTATAGGTACTTCCCAAAGCTATGCTTTGTAAGTAGGGGGTTTCAGAATCCCTTCAAATTAACACCACATTATCAGGCCTAAACTGTTTTCTTTGGTCTTCGGGTATTTGCTGGCGGTCTCCTTACTTTCAATTGTTTTCTCATTTTCCTTCTTTAGCTCGGGCATATTTCAAAGGATTCTTAAGACTTCCTCAACTTAATGCACGGGATTTTTCCTCCTGGCCTACAGTAGCTACCTCTGGAAAATCAGCAGATCAAATGCATTTTCTTCTCTTTTGTTCCCCCTCAGAATCATTCAATTTAAAAATGGCTAAGGAATTTGCTTGGACCTTTGAAACTGAGTCAATTGATTGGTTCTTTGAAGTTTAAATATGGAAACAAATACTTAATGAGCAATTGATTCAAAAGACTAGTAATTAGTATTGAAGATGACTTGATTATGACTTCATTTAAGTATTTGTGAGTCTTGTGTTTCCAGAATGTTAAGTTTACCAATTGAATGACTGGTAATGAGCCAGCATGACTCTGGTAAAGACTAGCATTACCCATTTAAACATTTAAGCCCTGACTGAATCTATGTGGCATGTGAAACCAGGAGCTTGAGAAAATGAGATGTCTTTCTTTAGAGCCTGATGTCCTTGACAAAGCACCCTGGAGCTCATCATTGTAGGGATTTCTGAAAGAGTGGGCATGTTGGTCCATCTCATTGTAAATCAAGGTAGATCAGAAGGCTTAGTATTTTCTGTACTGAAATTCTGATACAAGAGTCTATGCATGAAAACAATGTTTCAAATTTGCAGTGATATTCCAGGATTGTTTTGTGTTGGGTCACAGTGGCTATAAACAGCTATATTTAGAATAGCCTTTTAGTTCATCAAGTGTTTTTTTAGAGTCTTCTAACTCCACAGTAAAATGTCACTTGTGTGTTTTACCCAGAATCCCACTTACACCCCTGTAACGGCAATATGTTTGCATTTAAGATGGCTCTGGAGGAAGTCCAGGAGAGACATCGAGGAGACTTTCAAGAGAACAGCTTTGTGTACTGGTGTCGGCAGCTTCCTTAAACTTGGGTTGCATGATGGCCTATTCCATCCTTGGACCGTTTTTCCCCAAGGAGGTAAAACATTTTGTATCTGCATAGACTAATCTTTAGAAAGCCCTTCAGTTATATAATTTTAGAGGATATAAAATGTGAGAATATGGGGGCAGTGGGGGTGCTCAGCAGTCAAGATCGTGTTTTGCTTTTCTAGACGACCAGAGTTAAGTTCCCAGCCCCCACATCAAGAAGTTCATAATCATCCAGCTCTAGCTCCAGAGGACTCTGGTGCCTCTGGCCTCTGTGGACATTCATTCTCACATGTAAATATCTCCATACAGACACCTACGCATACACACATAATTAAAATGTTTCAAAATAAAATATAAAAGTGTGCCTACAGTATAGATAATATTGGTGTGTTTTGTATGATGGTGTGTACACTGTATGTACGTGGGGGGGGGGCATTAGTCCATCCTTGCACAGAGGCCAGAGGTCATTATCAGGCATCTTCATCACGACATGGTCTTACTGTCCTTGGAGCTCCCCAGTTCAGCTAGACTGAAGAGCCAGCAAGCCCCTGGGATCCTCCTGCCTCCTCCTCCCTGGGGTTAGTATTACAGATGTGTGCCAACAAGCTCAGCTTTCTATGTGGGTGCTGGGGATTCAGTTCAGGTCTTCCTGGTTACACAACAGGCACATTACCTAGACTCATCTCCCCAGCCCTCCTCGCCCACTAAGAGAATATTTCTTAGTGTTTAATAAGAAAAAAAAAAAAAAAAGAACATCCTCTTGCTGGATAATTCTCCCCAAATATACTTGACTTCCTAAGGATTATTTATTTTACCATGTAGTTTGATTAATCTTTACTTGGCATCTATAGCTGAAAAAGGAGATTCATTAAATGACTAAGATGTCAATGCTGCCAAAAGGCTATAACTCTGTCTTCTGGTGTTGGAAATATATATATGAATTAAATTGTTTGTAGCCAAGTGTGGTGCCTTTAACCCGAGTACTCAGAAAGCACAGGCAAGCAGCAGATTCTAGGAGTTTTGAGACCAGCCTGGTTTATAAGTGAGTTCCAGGCAGACATGGTCATAGAGTGAGACTCTGTCTCCAAAGGTGGGGTAGTCCAGCATATTCATTCCGAATTTATCATGCACTCCAGCAGTAATATTTACACGAAGGAAGGATTCTGATTAACGTTGCCAGGCTCCCTCTAAGCTTTGCCGTTTACATGGTGTTAGGAACTGTAGCTGGTGGTGCAGATGTTCACCTGGAGTACAGAGTCCATGCATATAGTATGGAACGAAGGGAACTAGATTGGGAAAGTTCAGACAATAAGTCCAAACATTCATTTTGTGCATCTTGCCAAAGTTTTAGGTTCACAGCACACTGACAACTTCTCAGTTCTCAAATTGCCTCGACAACATGTAGTCCTTCATACGGTGTGCGAGTAGAAAGGCTTTTGTACTAAAGGAACGATGTGGCTCCATACCCAAACAACACTCACTGGTCTCCAACACATGTTGCCACCCATTCATCCACTTGGTGTCTACAACAATCCCATAAGGAGAGAGAACAGCGAGGGTCCCATCGCGTTACTTTAAGATAGCAGACTCAGACGTGAAGGGCTTTCCTAGTTAGTCCAATTTCACTGGAGGGTCCAGTTCCTCCTCTGGGTTCATCGAGTTGAACATCTGCCCAGGCAAAGAAAAGTCAGGAAGTGCCCCTGTCTTGCTTGTTCATTACGAACCAAAAATATGAGAAAAGGATGGAGAGGAGGAGGAGAATTGATACAGGCTTTGGGTATCCTTTAAGGTAAAGATGGGCAAGAGTGATGTTACTGAAGGGGGAAGAATGCTTCACTATCCTTGGGCAGAATCAAGCCAAGGAGAAAGGTGCGGTCCTGAGACTTTTTCAGGTTCAGGGAGGTGTGGCGTGAGAAATGGAAGCTTCTACGGTAGATAGGAAGGCATCGTTGCAGATGTGGTCATGGGAAGAGCAGAGTGAATGGCATATTCTTACAGAACAGGACACAGCTCACTGGGGCTTATATTTAGCCTTGATAGAAGGCTGAGGCCCTGAGGGGCAAGCTCCGGCTGAAATGCAAGAACCCTGGGATGTATACCCAGGACTTGGTTGCTGGGAGGACATCAGAGTGGTTGGTCAGATTTGGGTTTTGTGAAAAAATATTGATGGGACCCTTTAAAGCAGTGGTTCTCAACCTCCCTAATACTATAACCCTTTAATAAGTTCCCCATGTTGTGGTGACTCCCAACCATAAAATTATTTTTGTTGCTACTTCATAACTGTTACCATGAATCAGAATGTAAATACTAATGTGCAAGTTATCTGGTGTGCCACTTCTGCCAAAGGGGTTGTGACACACAGATTGAGAACCACTGTTCTAAGGTTATAGAAGGTGTCTTAATTAGGGTTTCTATTGCTGTGATGAAACACCATGACCAAAAAGCAAGTTGGGGAAGAAAGGGCTTATTTGACTTACACTTCCATATCACTGTTTATCATTGAAGGAAGTCAGGAGAGGAACTCAAACAGGACAGAAACCTGGGGGCAGGAGCGGATGCAGGGGCCATGGAGGGGTGCTGCTTACTGGCTTGTTCTTCATGGCTTGCTTGGCTTGCTTTCTTACAGAACCTACTAGGGGTGGCCTCACCCACCATGGATGGTGCCCTGCCCCATCAATCATTAATTTAAAAATGTACTAGGGGTGGCCTCACCCACCATGGATGGTGCCCTGCCCCATCAATCATTAATTTAAAAATGTCTTACAGCTGGATCTTATGAGGGCATTTTTTTCAATCGAGGCTGCCTCTTCCCCAGTTGACTCTAGCTTGTGTCGAGTTAGTATAAAAATAGCCAGCACAGGAGGGAGAAACCAACAGAAATTCAGTTTCTGCTGCTGTGTATTCACAGCACAGATGACCTTTGTGGTCTCAAAAGGCATAGTGAGGTCTCCTTTTTCTCCAGCAAGCAACTCTTCAGCAGCAGACACGGTGGTGTCCTCTAATCCAGGACAATTGTGACTCTGTCTGCTGGAGATTTCTCAGTCCCAGGGCTGCCCCCTGCCTTCAAATCCCAGTTACAGAACCCATGTTTTCTAACCTGGAGCTTAAGTTAAGGTTTATACATACCCCTCCTTGGATTCAATTGATTTGCTTAATTGGCGACAGAACTCAGAGAAACACTTATGAGTATGGGTTTTACTACACAGAATATGCATAAAGCAATGCACTGGGTGACGTGTTGACTATTAGGAACTTTCAGCTCTGTAGACACTCTATGAGCCCTGTGCCTTCGGGGTTTTGTGGACATGATCATTTAAAGACTGGGTGTAGAGATTTGGTCAGGCCTGACAGTCGCTGTTTTTTTTATTCTCTTCATAATATTCCTCTCTCAGGATATGAGATAGAACCCATCTGGAATGAGAAAGGCCTTGTAACCTGTCACACAAGCTAGATGAGTTACAGGCTAGGAACTAATTCTCTCTCTCTCTCTCTCTCTCTCTCTCTCTCTCTCTCTCTCTCTCTTCTCTCACAGACACACACAGACACACACACACACACACACACACACACACACACACACACGCTGGTAGGATGGCTCAGTGGGTAATGGCACTGAGTTTGTCCCCCTGAACTCATATGGTAGAAGGAGAGAACTGACTCCGAGAATTGTTTTCTGACTTCTACATGTGTGCCATGGTACATGCATCCCCCCCCACACACACATACAATGAGTAAATGTAATAACAATATCTTTTAAAAAACAAAATATGTGTATCACAACATTACAATTAGATGGATACATATAATTTGTTATGTGTCCCAGTTTCTGGCTCGTAACTCTCACATAGCTTACATAGGAAGGGATGGAGGAGTTGTTTTTCTTAAAATCGTGGCTGGAGGGGCTGAGATGACTCAGTAGATAAGAACATGCTCTGCAAGCATGAGAACCTGAGTTTAATTCTCCAGCACCCACATAAAAAGCCAGGCATAGCTGTACATGACTAGGGGGCAGAGACAGATAGGTCTCAAGGGCTCACTGTCAGCTTAGTTTAGTGGGATGCAAATCTGGTTCAGTGAGAGACCCTGTCTGCAGGCAATGAGGAGAGCAGTATCATAAGACACCAATGTCCTGCTCTGGCCTCCTTGTGTTTGCTCCTATTTGAATGCACCTGTACAGTCACATGCTTGTGTACTCACATGCACAGACACACAACCTGTAGTTAGAGGGAAAAAATGAAAAGAAATATAATTGTAGAGAATACAGTTTTAAAATATGTATATATATTAATTTTTAAAGATTTATTTATTTTATTTTGTGCATGTATGTGTGTGTACCTCATACATGCTATACCCTCAGAGGTCAGAAGAAGGTAGGTTCCCTGGGACTGAAGTTATGGATGGTTGTGAGCCAAGCAAGAGCAGCAGCTGCTCGTAACTGCTCATCCATCTCCCCAGGCCCAAGGATGCATTCTGGAGGGTTTTCAGGTATGTGCATCTGTGTAAAGTTGTTTGATGCTCTGGTGAAAGGATGCATCGAAACCACTCTTCTGACCATGAATACTCATGGGTAACACACAGCCACTCACAGAGAAGAAGGTGCGTAAAAGGTGACTGCTGACTCTCAGGTGACAGGACAACCCCGTGAGGGCCAGGCTTCATGCTCTACGTCATACCAAGTTGTGTAGCCAGGAGGTTTCTCTAGTCCCGCACAGACCTGTGGTCCCACAGTGGCTTATAAAACAATCACTCAGAAGCTTATATTAATGACAGACTGGCTTAAGTTTCTTGCTAACTAGCGCTATCATCTTAAATTAACCCATTTTATTAATCTGTGTATTGTTGGGTGGCCGTGGTGTTACCGGTCTGCTGGCATCTTGTTGCTCCGTGGGCAGCCGGCTTGCGTCTCTCCTGCCTCTGCCTTTCTTCTTCCTGTCGCTTTATTGGATTTCCTGCCTGGCTATAACCTGACTCGCCATGGGCCAGAGCAGCTTCTTTATTAACCAGTCATAGCAACACATATTCACAGCATACAGAAAGACCATCCCACACCTAAGTTGCATAAGTTGTCTAAAGTTCCTTAAAAATTGTTCTTTTTTATGGGGGGCGGTGTGGATACAGGGTCTCACTTTGTAGCTCCAGATGGTCTAGTACCCCAGGCTGGCCTCAAAATCACAGAGATCCCTCTGCCTCAGCCTCCCCAAGAGCTAGAATTAAAGGTGTGCAACACATGCTCAGCTAAATGCATATTTTAACTCTTAAATGGATATAATGACAGGCCAATGTGAGGATTTGAGGCAAGATAGGGGAAATTAAGGGAATATTTGCATGGCTATTGTAAAGACAGTAGAGTGTTCCTCTCTTGAGAAGCACACACCCACATTTGGCTGTGTACTACCATTTCATAAGTGCCTCTCTCTATCCCTAAGCCCTAACCCTTCTTTCTCTCTCCAATATCTATCCTTAAATCTATTTAAAATATAATAAACTCCATCTGTACCTCATAAAAGTCTTCAACGTTGGTCATATTGGTTTGTCTTGAAGTTCTTCTCTGTAGTGAAGTAAAGAGTATTGGCTGCAGGCTGAGGACACAGCTCAGTGGGTAGAGTGTTTGTCTAGCACACATAAAGTACTGTCTTTGAACCCTAGCATCACATACACAAGTGTGATTGTACATGCCTGTAATCTCACAACTCAGGAGATAGAGGCAGGAGGATCAGGAGGAAGTCAAAACCAGCCTCATCTACATAGCGAGTCTTAGGCCTACCTGGGCTACATTAAACCCTGCCCCAAGGAACCATAAAAAAATAAATAAATAAATAGAAAGAATCTTAGGTTCAGCTGAGTAGGGGGTCTCTGAAAAGAACTTCTCAGGATGCTAGAGGGGGCAGCATAGAACTCTGTCTCTGGCCACCACCTCACTAGGGCTCACAGGGCAGCCATACTTGCACAGTTTGAAAAGGGGTTTTAGGGTCTGGAGAGATGTCTCAGTGGTTCAGAACACTCGCTGTTCTTGCAAAGGACATGAGTTCAGTTCCCAACAGTGGTTCACAACTACCTGAAACTCCAGTCCCAGGGGATCCATGCCTCCACAAACTCCTGCACACATGTGGGTGCACATACTTACACTCAGGTACACACACAAAAGTAGATTCAGAATAAGTGCTGTATCATCTGTAGCAAAGTTCAGAGGTCCCTGGTGGGACAGGCTATAAACATTAATAATTCCAGCATGTGGAGAGTAAAATACCCTCGGGTGTCAGAACAGTGTGGATGGTGGGGAGCATCCTTTGTCTGTATTGCTCACCAGAAGGAAGGAAAGCTCTTCCCAGATTGAGCATGGCAGGAGCCATGGAGAAGACCAGTGGGCCTTCATATGATCGGCTTGCCAGATCATGGCATTTCCTCTCCTTGAGGTTTTTTTTTGTTTGTTTGTTTTTTTGTTTTTGTTTTTGTATATTTTCTTCTAGAACTGACAATTGGCACGAGATTTGTTTTGTTTCTGTTTTTGGTGGAGGGCAATTCTGTAACTAGAAGTGCTACTAAAAAGGAAGTCTGTCTACATCAACTGTTTCCTGAGCCCCGTGACTGAGACAGAGTCCAGATTTCCTCATCTGAAGTATTTTGTGGTTGTTTTTTTTTTTAATTCTGTAATACTGACTTTTATCCAGATAAAAGGAATTCTTTAAAGGCATACTAAGTGAATTATTTCACATCAGGGTCTAGATTTTACCATCGATTTTCCTGTCTTTCCTTACCCTCATTATTTTAAAATAAAAAAATTTAAATACCAAAAGTAGGAAGGTTTGAGAGGGAGATAGGGTAGGAGCCGGGACAATCAAAATTAGGTACGTATAAAAATGTTACAAGGAATCTGCTGCTTGGTAAGTTAATTTTTACAAAAAGAATGTCTATTGTATGGACGTTGCAGCACTCCCCAAATCTTGGAAATTACTATACGTACATGGAAGTCACAAGGTGATGCTCCAACCTTCTCTTGTCTTCCCACCAATGCTGTCTTGTCTTTCTAATTTTGTTTCCATTTCTTCTTCTTCTAAGGCAGAAAAGAAGGGGGCCAGCAACACCATGATTGGGATGATCTTCGGATGCTATGCTTTATTTGAGTTGCTGGCATCTTTAGTGTTTGGAAAATACGTAAGTATTGGCACTCATATGCATATTTTAGTTTTCGAAAATCATGTGCGTTACTGTGGGAGCCCATTCTCGGGTTCCTCGTGGCTTTACCCAGCAGGTCCGCATAGAGGATGATTAGACCACGGGCCTGAGTGCAGGTGTCTGGGATGGTCTGCACTTGGCTGTGCTGGGGGAGGAGGTCTTTTGCTCCACCCCTTGGCGTCTCTAAAAAAACCCTGGGGCAGAGACAGTCGGGGCTGTTGGAATAGGTTCCAGGCCCTCTCGAGGCTATCCTTTATTTTCTGTTTATCTCTGCGATATTCTCCGCAATAAATCCTTCTATCTAATATTTCCTGCTGCTCGCACTCAAGAAAATTCTGGGGAACTGTGGGGGTGGTTGGGTAAATGCCCCACACGTTACTATAACTTACTAAGCTAGAATGTCTATGGACATGGAAATGATATCATTACATTTTTATAAATTATGCCACAGCTCTATCATTGTGGTTGATTTGTTAGTCCCTTCCATGCTTATAAACTGTTTGTATCACAGTTCTTTTAAATGATTATTTTAATATGATATGAACTACACATGCTTTCCTGCAATTGTATATATTCTGATACAGTGGATTTGTTTATGTAAATGTAGACATGTTGAAGCAATCCTTTGACTTTATTGCTCTCCTTTGACTTTTATTATAGCTTGTACAAATTGGAGCCAAATTCATGTTTATAGCAGGAATGTTTATCTCAGGAGGAGTTACAATTCTCTTTGGGTAAGTAGCTTTCTAATATGTTTGGAACATGGGTGGACGTCATAGTCTATTGGCTTTGAAATTTCTCTTAAGATTGTCTTATTATATTTGTATGATGGGGGCACTGTCCACGTGGAGGACAGTGCAGTGCATCATTCCTTTTGCTCCACTTTTACATGGATTCCAGGTATTGAACTCAGGTTGCCAAGTGTATGCTGCAAGCCCCTTACCCACCAAGCCATGTCACTAGCCCATTAATGGCTCTTCTTTGTTTGGTTTTGTTTTTAGAGACAGGGTTTCTTCGTGTAGACCAGGCTGGCCTCAAACTCACAGAAATCCATCTGCCTCTTCCTCCTGAGTGCTGGGATTAATGGCGTGGGCCACTACTGCATAGCACTTAATGGATCTTTAAACCCATCAGTACCAGTCACTCCTATATTGTCAGATGAATGGCATGTGATTAATGGTGGAGGGAGGTGGTGAACAGCAAACAGAAACAACATTGGTCTTAAGAAGAGTTCTCCAAGATCATCTACTAAACAGCCTGCTGAACCAGACATAGCGCTCCCCATCTGTAATCACAGCATTTGGGAGGCAATGCAGGAGGACCTTTAGTTCGAGGCCAGCCCGTGCTATGCAGGAAAACCCTATCTCAAAACAGCAATAGAGAAAATATAACAGTGGCTCCTGAATGCATCCACCGGGACTCTCGTGTGGATGCTCATGATAGGAACATAATAGTCTTCTGAGTCATAGAAACTCTTTGCTTAAACAGGAAAGAGAATCTCTTTCTTACAGGATCAACTCAAAGACACCTGGCTCCAGGTGCTGAAATAGCATTATCAGAAGTCGTTCTTAGCTTCCTGCTTTCTCTCCTCTTCCGGTGCAATGTCCCTACACAAGCTCCTAGAACCCTCCTTTTCTTCTTCTTCTTTTTTTTTTATATTTATTTATTTATTATGTATACAGTGCTCTGCCTGCATGTATGCCTGCAAGCCAGAAGAGGGCGCCAGATCTCATTACAGATGATTGTGAGCCACCATGTGGTGGCTGGGAATAGAACTCAGGACCTCTGGAAGAGCAGCCAGTGCCCTTAACCGCTGAGCCATCTCTCCAGCCCGTCTTTTGTTGTTTTTGAGACAGGGTATCACTATGGAGCCATGAGTGGCCTGGAACTTGCTATGTAGACCTGACTGGCCTTGAACTCATAGAAATCTACCTGCCTCTGCCTCTGATCCTGAGATTAAAGGCATGGCCTTGCTCTTTCATTTCAGTATTCTAGCTATTTCCTAATAACAATGTAACAACTGTTTACATAGCATTTACATTGTACCAGGTATCAAAAGTATCCAGAAAGTAACTTAAGGGCTGTAAGCATAGCTCTGCACCAGAGAGAGTACTTGCCCACTACCATGGGTGAAGCCTTGGGTTTAGCACAACACCATAAAAAAGAAGCAAATAATTAATAGTAGAGATGCGTTTGGTAAGATGAGCATCAGTTATAGCAGACAACATGTTTTATGTCAGGGACTTGAGCATCTTCTGATTTGATACCTAAGGTAGATCCTGCCATCACAGTGTTCTCTGGATTCAGGGGACCACTTTATTCCAAAGAGGCCTCCTTAGTATTATCATCTCAGAAGTCAGTTATAACAACAGAAAGGCATAGCTAAGCTGTCGTTATGACTTGAATTATAACAAAAATTAAAAACAGTAATTCCCTATAGAAAGTGTCACAACCCAACTCTTTAAAGTATTTCTAGAGAGACTTTATCTAATCACTTTGGGTAGTATGGCTATTTTTCAAGAAATAGAGTGATTAAAAAAATTAAAACCAATATGACACTTGACAACTGTATTTGTTTTCAGTGTCTTGGACCAACTTCCAGACGGACCCATATTTATTGTCATGTGTTTTCTGATGAGAATAGTAGATGCCATAGGCTTTGGTGCAGCGATAACAGCATCGTCTTCTATCCTCGCAAAGGCCTTCCCAAATAATGTGGCTACTGTGTTGGTATGTAATTTGAACTTTTTTCTTATTTTCCTTCTGATGTGGCCAAAACACTTGTTTGATCTGTTCTTACATGTCTTCCCCAACTCTCTTGTGTATCGTTCTCCCTTTTGTTGTGATTTCGATTTCCTGCAGTAAAGTGAGAAATAAAAGCACATCATTGCTGGGTGTGCTGACACATACCTGTAACCCACTACTTGGGAGGTGAAGGCTGGAGCATCAAAAGTTTGAGGCCAGCATGGGTGACACAGTGAGTCACTGTCTGAAAAACAAAAACAAAGAAATGACGACCGTCTGAGATGTTTAATTGTTCTTTATCAATAAAAACTCGGGAGTCAGATATGGGGTAAGAACCTGAACGATCAGAGAAGCAGTGGCAAAGTGACCAGTGACCTCCTGTCTCTTTGGTTCCTCCATCCATAAGGCCAAGACCCTCTCTAAATCCTGCCCTTTCCATCTCTCTATCTGTCCTCAGTCCTCCAAAACTTCTGTAGTTAATTTTGGTCAGCTAGTAGCTAGCTCTACCCTCTGATTCAAAGCAAATTTTATTGTCAGAATGCGATCAAAATATCACACAACAACTATCTGTGACAACTCTACCACAGGAGGAGAGGGTTTAAAAAGAAGGTGAGAGCCGGGCGGTGGTGGCGCACGCCTTTAATCCCAGCACTCGGGAGGCAGAGCCAGGCGGATCTCTGTGAGTTCGAGGCCAGCCTGGGCTACCAAGTGAGTTCCAGGAAAGGCGCAAAGCTACACAGAGAAACCCTGTCTCGAAAAACCAAAAAAAAAAAAAAAAAAAAAAAAAAAAAAAAGAAGGTGAGGCCTGGAATGGTGGCTCATGGCTTTAATCCCAGTACTCAGGAGGCAGAGGCAGGTGTATCTCTGTGAGTCTGAGGTCAGACTGGTCCACACAGCAAGTGCCAGTTCAGACGCTGCTACACAGTGAGACCCTTATCCAAAGTAAGAAACAAAAAAGCAGAGACCTTGAGTGTCTGTTAGGTGCTCTTTCTGTCTCTGCATGGGCACCTGATGAGTAAACATGATCCAACCATTTTTTTAAATCACCCTTAAAATGATTTTTAAAGATTTGTTTTCTTTTTTATGTGTATTATTGTTTTGCCTACACACACACACACACACACACACACACACACACACACACACACACACATATATATATATATATATATATATATATATATATATATATATATATATATATATATACACCACATATGTGCCCAGGGCCTACAGAGATCAGAAGAGGGCATCAGATCCCCTGGAACTGGAGTTATGATGGTTGTAAGCTCTTAACTACTGAGCCATCTCTAGATTTTTTAAAAATCACTTTTCACTCTTCTGAGTAGTATTTTGCTGTCCCCCTGTGATCCTGTGAGTAGGACCTGGCTGAATGGCTCATAGCTTTCCTCTACTCTTGAAGTTTCCCCTCATGATAGATGGTTACCTCATGAGCATCTTTCCTCTACTTTCCCCAGATATGTCTCAGAGGTTGTCTTGAAAATGGTCAAAGCACTTGTGTCTTGTCTGAGGAGTGCCATCTAATTTTGACTTTACTCAATGTGTCAGCTTGGCCATGGGCCAGTTTTTCCATATAGAACTTGTTGCCCTTTTAAAGAGCTGGTGTTCTGTAGAATACGCTGGACAGTGCTGTTCAGGATATTCCTGTCATGGTGGCAGTCACCGTTTGAGATCGGGCAGGAGAAAGTAGACTTGCCCTCCCAATCTCCCACATAAAGTTGCAGCCGAAGCCAACACATCCCACACATTAGTTAATCATGATGGCTCTGTGTCCTCTGTGGATCTTAAGACAGTGAGATTGTAAGCCATGGGTGTATTTAAAGATTTAAAATGGTACAATTTTTTTAACAGTAAAATTCTTTTCCATAGGACTTCCTTGTTTACTTTCAGTTAATTTTATGCAGAATAAACTTAAAAAGTTATAAAATGGAATATAGAATGTAGTAAATGTTTGACTTATACCATTGCTATTCTGACTTATATACACATCTGCTGTCCAGGCACCCAGTGCCCTAGCTGCTCCAAGAGGGCAGCCAACATCTCAGGCATCTTATCAAGATTACATATCTGTGTACACACATGTTCATACCCACATGGAGTGGCAGCATGATTCCCCCTTCTTTTCTTTACGTGTGTGATGGCATATTCTTCATACCATCAACAAATGGTTGATTATACTGACAAGTTCACACTTGACGTCTTCTGTATTTATTTATAAGAAACATTCTTATTCGTTTTTCACTGGCTGTGTGCAATTCCACTGTATAGATTGACCTACTTTATCTAAATTGTTAGTATGTAAATCATCTGCCTCTTTTTTTTTTTTGTTTGTTTGTTTGTTTGTTTAGAACAGGGTCTCTCATAGCTCAAGCTGACTAGAACTCTCAGACGTTGACCTTGACCTCCTGGTCTTGCTTCCTGCATCTCCTTCACCTAGGTGCTGGGATTGTAGGTGTCTGTCGCCACGCCTAGCTTAACATTGCAAACAGTGCTACCATGTCAATGTATAAACAAGCATGTGTGTGTAAATTGTGACACAATCTTTTCTTTTCAAGTAGTACTCTCATAATTCATTTTTTATTTAACTTTTTTGAGAATTTCATACGTGAGTTCAATATTTATATAATTTTCACCCCACTGCCCTCTTAAATTACTGGTGTGTGTGTGTGTGTGTGTGTGCGTGCGCGCATAAATACAGCCTCAACCAACTGAGTCCATTTAGTCGCTTATATGTATATGTGTTCAGGTCTGACCACTAAGTTGGCTTAGCCTGTCTAAGAGGGGCCTCAACCCTGGAGAAAACTGATTCTCGATTTCTCAGGAGCCATTGATTGCCTATAGCTCTTCATCTGGGGATAAAGCTTTGGAAAATTTCCTCATCCATGTGGCATGTCAGTCGGTGTAGTCATTTCTTGTCTTATTTTGGTGACTGTATTGTCGAGATTTCATGGATGCAGCTTCCCTTTCATGTGTAGAGGACACTATCTCGCAGCAGACATCCTGGGCCTCTGGCTCCTATAGTCTTTCTGCCCCTAATTCCTTGGTGTTCCCTGGGAATTACAGGGCTTGTGATGCAGATGTGTCATTTGGCACCTGAAGTCGGTTGCGCTTGGCATCATGACCAGTTGTAGATTTCTGTGACCGTCTCCAGCAGCTGCAGAAAGAAGCTTCTTTGGTAAAGGGTGGGAGCTAAGCTTATCTGTGGATATAAGGATAAATATTTTGAATGTGGTAAAGGGTAGGAGCTACACTTACCTGTGGATAGAAGGATAAATATTTTGTATGTGGTAAAGGGTGGGAGCTACACTTACCTGTGGATATAAGGATACATATTTTGACTGTGGTTACTAATTATACTTGTTTGGAAAATGGCAGTTAGTAGTGTCTCCTCTAGTGTCCATAATCTCTCCAGCTACAGGTAGGCTAGGTTTATAGTACCAGGCATTTTGAGACAAGATGTCACCCTGGCTGGCCTAGAACTCATAGAGATCTACCTGCCTCTGCTTCCCAAGTGCTGAAATTAAAGATGTGTGCCATTATGCTTGATATTCGTAATTCTTCAACTATAATACATTAAATTTTCTTTTTTTTCACTTTTAGGGAAGCCTTGAGGTTTTTTCTGGACTGGGGCTGATGGTAGGTCCCCCTTTAGGTGGCTTTTTGTATCAGTCCTTTGGCTATGAGGTGCCTTTTATTCTTCTGGGGTGCATAGTTCTACTGATGATACCACTCAACCTATGTATTTTGCCCAGTTATGGTAAGTTCAAACTTAATACTCATTCTAGAATTTTACCTTTACTTTTATGTCTTTGTAAATGATACATTTACCATGTATATTGTGTAACACCTCTTTGTAGTACCCTCAAAAGCTGGTTCTGTTTCCTAATATGTGGGTAATTAGTTTATGCTGATTTTTGCTTACAAAGGACTAGGGATATAGCTCAATTAGTAGAGTGCTTTTGTAGCATTCATGAAGCCCTAGGTTTGACCTCCAACTTCACATAAGCAGAACACGGTGGTGCATGCCTTTAAAGCATCCTCAGCTATGTAGTGAGTTTGAGGCCAGCCTGGGATGCATGAGGCCCTCTCTTAAATAAAATAAAAAAGCATACCACAAAAATTTCCAGGTTTAGGAGAAACAAATACTTAATTTCTGCTCACAAGCCATTATCATTGGGCTGAACTAAGTTTTCATCAGAAATTCTGTGGGCAACACAGTTTGTCTGCAAGGCTTGGAAACAAGAGAAGTTTCCGACAAGTTCTAGACCACCTTTGTTTTCTTCTTCCTTCCTTCCTTCCTTCCTTCCTTCCTTCCTTCCTTCCTTTCTTCCTTTCTTCCTTCCTTCCTTCCTTCCTTCCTTCCTTTCTTTCTTTCTTTCTTTCTTTCTTTCTTTCTTTCTTTCTTTCTTTCTTTCTTTCCTTCTTTCCTTCTTTCCTTCTTTCTTTCTTTATGATGTCTCTCTACATAGCCCTGTATAGACAGATATTTCTTTGGGCCTCCAGCTCACAAAAAACAACATGGAGAGGTATTGATTATCAAAGTTCAGCCGATAGCTTAGGCCTGTTTCTAACTAGCTCTTACAACTGAGCTAGCCCATTTCTATTAATTTACTTTTTGTCTAGTGACTTTATTACCTCACCTCCATATTGCCCATCCTGTTTGCTCTGCGTCTCTGCCCTTCTTTTTCCCAGTGTCCTCTGTGCCTGGAAATCCTGCCTAACTATTGGCTGTTCAGCGTTTTATTAAACCAACCACAGTGACTCATCTTCAAACAGTGTAAAGGAATATTCCACAACAGCCCTGGCTGTCCTGGAACTCACTATGTAGACCAGGCTGGCCTTGAGCTCACAGAAATCCTCTGCCTCTACCACCCTCAACTCTAGGACAGTTTTGTACACACAGAGAATTTCAGGCCATCTGGGGCACAGAGTGAGACAACGTGTCATTCTGTCAAAAAACATTCAATATAGGAGGGCAAGGCCAGTTCTTCGTTCCCAGTGGGCCTTCCACATGTCCATGTAGCAACAACACAAGGATACAGGTCTCTGGTAGAAGTGATGAGAAACAATCGGGGTCCAAAGCTTCCCTTCCCATATCAATCAACCTTCTCTGTGACAGGGCATGTATATTGTTGCCAGGGTGCCACATGCTGGTAAGAGTCAACCAGGGCAGGGAGCAGAGAACACTGTGTCCCCATTAGGTACGTACTCGTGCTTAAGGCTCTTTTGTAGTTCCCTTTGTCCAGATAAAAATTACCACCAGGATTATGGTCGTTGTAAGCATTGTTTTTCAGAAGGGTTAATCAACCTTGTATAACAGAGCTGGAGAGGTTGCAGGAGAGCAGGGAAACCGGGGAGAAAAGAGCCAAAGAGAGGCCATACCACAGTGAACCACAAGGTGGTGCTGATCTTTTCTGCACGTGTAAGGAACCAGTTTTTCCTTGGTTTAGCATCCTAGGCTGTGTCCTGATATGATGGATATTGGACAGAGAATTAAGAAGTAGTCAGCCACAGTCCTGGAGAGATGGCTCAGTGGTTAAGAGTACTGGCCGCTTCTGCAGAGGACCTGGGTTCAGTTCCCAGGACTCACATAGTGACTCACGACTATCTATAACTCCATTTTCAGGGGAGCCAATGCCCTCTTCTGACCTCCTCAGGCACCAGTCATGCATGTGGTTTGCATACATACATGCAGGCAAAACAGTCACACGTATAAGATAAATAAGTTTAATTAAAAAGAGACAAGAAACAGGTCAGATTCTCGTGCAGCAGAAGAAAAAAATTAATTCTTTATTACTCTAGGAAATGGGAAAAGACAGCTAAGATAGGCTATTTAAAACTGGAATTGAAGAAAAAAATCCCTAAGGTCAATAACATTAGGCCTATAATTCAGATTGAGTATTCCTATTTAAGAATACTCTTTAAAGCCGGGTGGTGGTGGTGGTGGTGGTGGTGGTGGTGGTGGTGGTGGTGATGGTGGTGATGGTGGTGATGGTGGTGATGGTGGTGATGGTGGTGATGGTGATACACACCTTTAATTCCAGCACTCGGGAGGCAGAAGCAGGCGAATCTCTGTGAGTTCAAGGCCAGCCTGGTCTCCAGAGTGAGTTCCAGGAAAGGCGCAAAGCTACACAGAGAAACCCTGTCTTAAAAAACCAAAAAAAAAAAAAAAAAAAAAAAAAAAAGAAAAGAATACTCTTTAAGTTATTGAAAGTTTTAATGCAGACAACATCTAGGAAAGTAACCAAATTTCCTTTTGACATACTGGAGGAACTAGGTGTTCTATGCACTCTGCCAATTTCTTCCACATCCATGACCAATGTCTGGTGCTGGGTGTCAGGAACCCCTGTTGCTCATTCTTCTATCCACTCTCCAGTTTCTGCCTGCTGGTATACGCTAACAGTCGTGTGCACATCACTTCTCTCATTAAAACCCTAAGTCTGAGAACCTGAAGAGGTCTGCTTTCCATCGTGGTGACAGAGAGATTGATGTGTCATGCAGTAAGTCCCACCTTCTCTGTGTCCCACATGCTGCAAGATTGACACCTGTACCTGGAACCAGAGAGAACACCAAGCCACCCTTATACTACGTTTTTATATATGCACACATGCCTATGATAAAGTTTAATTTAAAATTAGATACAGTTAAGAGATTAGTAATAGGGGGCTGGAGTGATGGCTCAGTAGTTAAGAGTCCTGGCTGTTCTTGCAGAGGACCAGGGTTCAAGTCTCAACACCCACATGGTGGGTCACAACCATCTGTAGCTCCAGTCTCAGGATAGAGCATCGTCTTCTGGCCTCCACAGCACCAGGAACACATGGCAGCCACATGGCACAGACATACTCACAGACAAAACACCTCATACACATAAAATAAATAATTTGTAAAAAGAGATTAGCAATAATAATAAAAGTATAAAACAACTAGAACTGCTATAATTGAAGTTATTTAAAGCTTAGAAATTCTTTGTTTCTAGAACTTTCTATTTATTTAATTATTATTATTATTATTTTGGTATTTTTGAGACAGGGTTTCTCTACATAGCCCTGGCCATCCTGGATCAGTCTGGCCTGGAATTCAGTGATTCAACTGTCTCTGCTGGCATTAAAGGCATGTGCCACCACCACCAGCTCTGTTTATTATTGTATTTATTATTGTTGACAGTACAGAAATGAAATCTCAGAAAGCAAAGCTGTTGTACTTGAAAATTGCTAAGCAAGTAGATTATAAATATTCTCACGTCAAAAAATGACAAGTATGTGAGGTAAGGTGTAATGTATTTGTTAAATCCTCGGATTCACTCTTTCTACTATGTACACGTGCACACATATGTACAATATCAGTGTCATTCACTACTGATAAACACAATTTTTACCTGGAAATTAAAAATTTTTTTTCTGAGACAGGATCTTGCTATGTAGCCCCCAGGAACTCACATTGTAGGCCAGACTGGCCCTCCTGTCTCTGCCTACAATATGATGGGATTGCAGGCAGACTCAAAATACCATCTTTATATCCATGAAACAAGCAAGGCACCTGGAAGCCACTGGAGCACTTGCTGGGTTTAAGTAGAGCGGTCACGTGGTATGGACTCTGCACTCTTCCATCCCCTCTGCTGGCTCAGCCTGCACTGTCTCTGCATCTTTTCTGAGTAGTTTCCCCAGACCTCTCCTTCACAGGACAGGTATCAGGTGGCACCTCCTGTGCCACTCTTTTCAGGGACCCCCACACACCCCTGTCTCTGACACCTTTCAGGGCAGGTGTTGGTAACCAGCCAGTTCTATCTCTCCCAGGAGAATAGCCACACCAGGATTTGGAGCAAACTCGGGGATACCCAAGTACCTTGGGAACAGTCTGAGATTTTTCTATGTTCTACACAGAGTTTTCACTTAAACCAATGAAGTGCTCCTTCTCATAAGTGTTTTTATACATTCTTTTATTTTAAACGTAACTATTTTTTAAGTGTACTTATTTTATGTGTATCAGAGTTTTGCCTGTGTGTGTGTGTGTGTGCGCGCGCGCACACGCGCGCGCACCATGTGCGTTGTTGGGAGCATAACACAAAGGTCCTTAAGCCAAGGAATCTCCAGAGAAACCAGGAATGTTAAGCATAAAGGATTGTCTTTCCAAGGGGAAAGTTGAAAAACCTGTTCTTCCATCCAGAAAGCTGAGAAGAGAATTGGGAGTGATTAACAGCCTGGTGATCTGCCTTATCTGTTGGGGCAGGCCATATCAAGCTCTTAAAACCAGGAGGAGGTGGCTAATACTCTAAATGACCCTCACAAACAGAGACTCCCCCAAGCTCCCACAACCAGGACCAAAAGTGGCTAATAGCCCAAACGATTTCTGTGCTATTTATAGAACCAAGACCAGGCCAGACCCTTAGAACCTTAAGCTGCTACACACAGAGTACCTCTAGAACCTATCTTCTTGAAAGAAATGGCATGTACCCTGCCTTGAGTTTCAATGTAATTACACTTCCTGTGCATGGGGGATTGCATTCCACCAGGAAACTTTTTTTCCGAATGACGCTGGGCTTAAATACATGGTGAATAAACTGCCTGTCCTTAGACTCCCTGAAGTCTGATCCAGGCTAACGAAGCTAGGCCAGTCTGCACTGGGTTTTGTTCTTCTCTATCCATGTGGTGAGCTTCCCTGTATGACACCTGCATTGAGCCCCAAGTACATGTCTTCTACCAGTGCCCACAGAGGCCAGAAAGAGGGCATCATATCCCCCAAAACTGGAGTTAGAGATGGATGTGAGTAGCCATGTGGCTGCTGGGAACTGAACCCATGTCTTCTGCAAGAGCAGCCAGTGTTCTTAACCACTGAGCCATATATGGTTAACAGAATGCTTTTTTTTTTTTTTTTTTTTTGAGACAGAGTTTCTCTGTGTAGTCTTGGCTGCCCTAGAACTCGCTTTGTAGACCAGGTTGGCCTCAAACTCACAGAGATCCTCCTGCCTCTGCCTCCCAATTGCTGGGATTAAAAGGCGTGCACCACCACTACCTGGCAGATAATGCTTTTTGTATGCACAAGAAATATAATAGACTAAAACTAAAATCTTTTATAGTTAAAATTTATTTTAATTTTAATTTTTATTAGTTGTTGTTGCTTTTCTAACTTTTTTGGTTTTCAAGACAAGTGTGTGTGTGTTTGTATCCCTGGCTATCCTGGAACTCTCTCTGTAGACCAAGCTTGCCTCGAACTCAGAGATCTGACTGCCTCTACTTTTGTAGTGCTGGGATTAGTGGCATGCACCACACCGCACTATTATTATCATCATCATTTTGAATTATGTTGTGGGTGTTAGGATGTGCATGTAAGTGCGGATGCCCACAGAGACCAGAGGCACTGGATCTCCTGGAGCCAGAGCTACAAGTGATTGTGAGACACCATATGTGGGTACTAGAAACTGAACTCCGGTTCTCTTGAAGAGAAGTCCTCTTACTTGTTGAGTCATCTCTCCAGCCCATCTTTTGCAATTTTCAGTTCAAATTTAATACAATTCAAAATCCACACCTGGTTTGACCTCCTGCTGGCAATATCTCGTTGTGCCACAAGGTGGCACTTGATCTCGCTCTATGTTGAAATACATAGTGCGGTTTAGGAGTTGAATTTAGGGTTGTGTTTTTGAGTAAGAGGCTGATAGTCTTGACTTAATCTCTGTATTCTGAAAAATTCTTGAGAATATTACCAAAAATAGCATAAATTCGTACAGTCTTTGTGTTATGATATTGCCCGAGGGGGACCCCGGCTGGCTGGGCCAGGGTATCCCACGCGCGTGCAGGGAAACAGATGCAGCGGCAGTCACTCATAAGCCCAGGCACTGCATCCACGTGGAAATAAGTTTATTATAACAGAGAGATAAAGAGAAAGATAGGAAAAGAGGGAGACAAAAAGAAAGGGGGGCGGTGAGGAGTCAAGGGTGCACACCTCATGGGAATGGGGAGGAGGGAAGGAAGGAGGGAGGGGCTGTTCTTTTTTTAAAGGGGACTTTACCTCAGGAAGCTGGGCGGGTCTCTGGGGGGGGGGGTCACAATACTAACACTTTGAATTTTGGGACTTTGCATATGCATGGTCGTTGTGAATGGTGATGATGAATGCCTGCTGTGGGCAAAATGAGGGTCTGTGAGGGCTGATCCCGACCCTCATTGAAGTTCCGTGTTCACATCCAGTGTTGTCTCTGTACAGGATCACAGTAACCAATTCTAACTAAGCTCCTGAAATGCAGGTGACAGGACTCTGCGCCAAGTGCCTGAGCTGTTCTCTTTGTGGAATCCCCAGTGATTTCTCAGACTCCTAAGCATCTTTTAAGAGCCACACAGTCACTACATACTTTTCTACAATGACCTTTTCTTAAATAATATGCCTGGGGTGCCGGAGAAATGACTGCATGATTTAGAGCACTTCCTGGTCTTCCCAGGACCCGAGATCAATGTTGAGAACTTCCTAAAGAGAGAATAAAGCAGTCACTATGACCAGAGGCTTGCAGGTAGACACGCCTGCTATTCAGATAGGCATTAACAGGGGCTACTGACTGTTAGGAGAATGAGAGTACTGATCTTAAGTGATAAAAGTAGTTCACACAAGATTCAGTTTCTCAATGTAGTGTTTATTTTGCCTTCCGAAAAATAACTTGGTCTTGTTTTACAAAACAAAGGTGAGTCCCTCCTTAAGAACACACACAGAGCCTTGGGGAAGCTTGGATGGCTCTTTTTCTGCAGCTCTCCATTCCACTGTCCCATCCAGATGGCCTCACTTCCGGATTGTAACTAAAAAACTTCCCTGCATACCCTGATTCCAGTTGCTTCTCGTTGTATTTGAAAACTTAAGGATTTCTATTTGAAAGCTTAAGGATTGTTTTTCAATTGGGGAGTTTGCTGTGTTTTTTTTTTTTGAGACGAGTCTTATGTAGCCCAGGACAACTTCACACTCACTGTGGAGCTGAGGATGACCTTGAACTCCTGACCCTCCTGCCCTGCAAGTGCTGAGATGCCAGGATAAAAGTCAGTCCTTTAAATGGAATCAATTGTGGCTTCTAAAGTTGAAGAGGGTTAGGGTAGATGATAATATTTAGTTCCAGACAATTCAGAGGTGCAGCTATTTCTACTACCAGATAGTCTTAACAGCTTTGCCTCTCAAAGTAAGTTAAATGATAAAGCTAAGAGATAAGGATTGCGATGATGTGTTTCTGTTTTTATTTATAACCCCAAGAGTCGGATCCAGGTGAACACTCCTTCTGGAAACTTGTCTCATTACCCAAGGTCGGTCTCATAGCCTTCGTCATCATCTCCCTCAGCTCTTGCTTCGGCTTCCTCGAGCCAATCCTCTCTCTCTTCATCTTGGAGAAGGTAAGCAGCCTGCTGGACCTCTGCTTTGTACAGGTGGCCATGATTATGGTGCCCTTGGGCTCTTTCTTTAGGGAAAGACCTTCATCTGTGAGAAGGAGGTAGACAGGCAGCTGCATTCTCTGGTAAACTATATTTTCCCTCAGTGATATTCCCTTGTGCTAGGGTATGACTCTGTGATCTGGGGGTCTGATCCACTAGGAAGAAAGAAAGAATCTTCCTCTAATGTCTCCTCCCACCCAAGACCTTGCTCATGTCATTCCATGTCTACGAGGCCATCTCCCATGTTGCTTAACTACAACACATTTTCTCTTCCTGTGTGAGTTGTAAAGAGGCATTAAGAGTACTCATTATGTCTGTTGATGTGAGATATCCTTCTCTCCCAAATGCCCTCTGGGTCCACTTACCTTTTAACTATGTTATAATAAGATGACTATGTGCTATACTACAGAATAGGAGAAAGGAACCAAGAGTCTCCATTGCTGAAACATAAATGTTGAATTCATATTACTTTACGTTTCCCTGTGACACACCACCCTCCTGCATTGCCTCACCCCCACTGAAACCAAACCTGGGGCTAAGATCCAAGAGCATCACTTAACAAGATCTGTGTATGAATCTTTGTATACATAAAATTTGTAAAACACTTTGTATGAAAATGCAATTTGTAGAAATAAAATATGTTTAATATCAAATGCTATAAAATCAAACTTCTAGGATGTCCAATAAGTGGTTGGAATTTTTTTCCCCTTTTAGAAAAAAGTATTTACCCATACCCAGTACAAAGTAAGACAAAGTTAAGAGGAATACATTGAAAGCTAATCTTGATGGTTAACTTGATTAGATGGGAAGGTGCCTAGGAAATTAGTAAAGTGTATCTCTGGGTAAGACTTGAGGTTGTTTCCAGACAGAACTGACTAAACATGGAATGCCCTGACTGTGGGCAGTACCATCCCAGAGGCTGGGACTGGATTAAAAAAGGGAAGAATGGAGAAAGCCAGTTAACACAGGCATCCTCTCTCTGCTTCCTGGCTGCTATCCTGTAAGTTCTCTGCTCTCCCACACCCTCCCTACTGTTATTCTTAGCCACTTCTGGAGTCACATGACTACCCATGGGCTGTCAGTAGTCAGGTTTACATCCTACATAATCCGCGTACAGCGTCACGTAATCTGCATGCATCGTGATCACATAATCTATGCACATGTGTGGCGTAGCTATGTAAGCTCATTTATGCAAGCACTAGGTGACATATAAAAGCAGGCTTGACCCGCTCCCACTCTCTCTCCCTCTCACCACTCTCTCTCCCTCTCACCAGACGTGGCACGAACCTCTCTCTCTCTCTCTCTCTCACTCTCACTCTCACTCTCACTCTCTCTCTCTCACACACACACACACACACACACACACACACACACACTTTTCTTTTCGGTAGGCCTACCCACTTCCACCCTTTCTCTTCCCTAATAAAAACTCTTATAGTGGGTTCCATTGTACCTCGTATTTTCTCATGCCCAGAAAATAATGTCAACAAATAAATAACACCTACCATGATGCTCTGAAACCATGAGCCAAAATAAATAATCCACCCCTTTATATTGTTCTCTCGGGTGTCTTAGTCACAGCTATGGACAGCTAAACAATACAGATACTTGGGTGTAACTGATAGACTTCTGTGAATAGAGCTGAGGAAGAGAAGGAGGGAAAGGGGTGTGTTTATTTTAAAGAGAGACTTCACATGCTGCTCTAACATGGAATCTCTTTTCCAGTTCAATTTGCCAGCTGGATACGTGGGACTGGTCTTCCTGGGTCTAGCTCTGTCCTACACCATTTCATCACCACTGTTCGGTCTCCTCTGTGATAGGATGCCTGTATGTATCCTGACTTATATTTGAGTTGCTTTTGCATGGTTAGATCTGTTGCCACTTCTCCAGAATTCTAAAGGTCCCTTGCTTAAAGGGGGCAATTTCAGTTGGCCTGGTAGAGGAAGTCTGGTGGCTCTCAGCCTCAGTTGTTCCTCTCAGCAGACTCAAGTTCAGTATTTCATATGAAGAAGAGTCTGGTACTCAATCTACTGGAAACTATTGCACCATTTTTTTTTTTAAGACTGAGCCTCACTATATAGACCAGGCTGATCTGAAACTCAGTCCCCTTGCTTCCCAGAATCTTCCCAGAGTCAGGATCATGGTCTGTTGTTGATATGACAAGCCTGGTTTGTATTATACCGTCTAAAACTCCCTTAATGACCCAGACAACACAAAATAAAACAGAAACCCTGATCCTAGTAACAAGGGCAGCGTCTAAGGCTCTTACAAGTTATTGGACTTGATCAGATTGCAAAACTAATAGAGGGAAATTGACTTAGAAAGAGGGTATGAAAAAAATGGCCCTGCAAGTGTTCATCAACTGTTCTCTACCCATCTTGAACTGAGTCCCTTCTGCTCTCTTTCAGTTGGGCCTAACCCGTTTCTTTCTGCATGACTGATCAGCAGAAACAGCACCATTAACCAGACCTCACATTTCCATGGCTGCTTCTGCAGCTTTAGTGCTTAGATTTTTCATTTTTCTCTCATTAGCTTTGCATATATATTTATAAGATATATGTTATAGGGGAGTTACTTAGTAACCCAAGTAACAAAATGCTAATGTTTTTCCTTTTTTTAAAGATTTACCTTCATTTTTGTTTGTGTGTATGCTTATGTGTCTGTGTTCGTGTATGCCACATGTATATGGGTGACCTCAGAGACCAGGAGAGGGCAGTGGATCTCCTGGACCTGGGCTTCTAGCATTTGTGAGCCACCTGACACAGGTGCTGGGAACCAAGCTTGGGTCCTTAGAAGAGGACTAGTATGGCTCTAGTAGTGTAAGTGTTAATATATAAAGTGATTGTTGACTTGGGACAATATTGAGAGAACTCTTAACCTCTGAGCCATCTCTCCAGACCCCAAATAGCTAACATCTTAAACAATATTTGGAGCTAAGTGTTAAGACATAATCTTAAGCCGGGTATGGTAGCAAATGTTAGTTACCCTAGCACCTGGAAAGCTATAGGACTAAGAGATCATTAGTTCAGTACCAGCCAGGGCTGTATAGCAAGACCTTGCTCCTTGCTTTAAAAAGAAAGACATAGGCTGAGTTAAGCAGTTTAGAAGGGATAATTTTTATTAGATACCATCTTAGACTAGTTAGACTGCCATAACAAAATATCAAAGACCTGGAGCACACAATAAACAAGGGATACTTAGTTCTCACAGTTTTGCAAGATCCAGGCTCTTGCTTGGTGTTGAGGGCCACTTCTGACTCACAGCAACCCCACGTGGAAGAGTGGGAAATGCTCTCAGAGACTTCTCCTGTGAGGGTGTGGATCCCAGTCATGAGGGTTCCTCCTTCACTACCACATCACCTCTCCAAAGCTGACCTCCATGCACCATCGGACCAGGCACTAGAATAGCATATGAACCTGGGGGTTGGCGGGCAGGGATTCCATTCAGTCACTCTGCAGTAGATACTTTTAAATAATGTGTTTTTCCTGGGTATTATGACACATTAGCAAGTTGCTTGAGGTGACTGCTTTTTAAATTCTTACATGTTTGGAATAGTTCATGATGTGCCAACATTCTGTTACATACCCCCTTCCTGGGGAACTTCTTTGCTCATCCCACCATCTTGCAAAATATCCTCCTTGCCTTTGCATTTTTCATCTGCCTGTTCTCAAATATAAAGTGTCATTTGCTTCAGTGTGTTTGGGTTTTTGGATGTCATTACTCTAATGATTTTTTTTATATTGTTTGATTACAGAGGGTCCTTTGGTTTAAGCTTTGAACTCTTTCTCTTTACCAGAATCTCAGGAAATGGTTTCTGATTTTTGGAAACTTAATCACAGCTGGGTGCTACATGCTCTTAGGACCTGTCCCCATTTTGCACATTAAAAGGTAACTTGTCTTGTTCCGTGTTTTTGGAGAAATAGTAATTATTTAATTCTTCTAAGTGACTTAGTACTGCAAACATTGCTATTTAAACGTTGACTTTGACTTAGGATTGTATTGAACTGTTTGTGTGACTGACAATGCTTTATTCACTACAAGCTCACAGTAGTTTACAAATCTTAACACATTCAATCTTTATCAAATGAGAACAACATTGATTCTCATCTATAAGGTATTTGTTTTGTTTTGTTCTGTTAGCTGAGGCTAGCTTTGAACTCACAATCCTCCTGACTCTACCTCTCAAGTGCTAGGATTATAGGTTTGCACCACAGTACCATGTCTTCTCCTGTGTTTCAACTGCACAGGTGCTTGGAATGATTTTCAAAATAACATTTATGGATAACAACCTTTGCTTGATACTTAGAGAATACAATTGTGTTTTTCTGAGTCTTTCTTCTCATTTATTGAGAGGGTGACCGAGTCTTTTATTGTTTCTGGGTCATCCTTAGCATGTAGTAGTTGCTCATTAGAGTTTATTTGTTATAATTTATTTATTGAAACAAAGTGAGCTGCTTGGATTTTTTCCCCCCATACTTCTGGGGTAAAACAGGGCATCATGGGAAGAGGGTGATTTCGGAGTCTTTTGGATCTGGGTTTCGATTTTGGTTCTGTCACTGGTAGTGGAACTTGAGTGAATCACTTAACTTCCAAGATCCTAAACTTTCTTGTCTATAAAAAGAAACCGGGGCCGGAGAGGTGGCTCAGTGGTTAAGAGTACTGACTGCTCTTCCAGAGGTCCTGAGTTCAATCCCAGCAACCACATGGTGGCTCACAACCATCTGTAATGAGATCTGGCACCCTCTTCTGGCCTACAGATATACATGCAGACAGAATACTGTATACACAATAATAAATAAATCTTTAAAAAAAAAGAAAGCAGGGCCAGCAATATGATCAGCCCACTAAGATACTTGCTGCCAAGCCTGGAAACTTGAGTAGGGACTCCAGGAATTAATTCCAGGAGCTACATGGTAGAAGGAGAGAACTGATTTATGTGTGTTGTCCATTCATCTACACACACACACACACACACACACACACACACACACACACACACACACTCACTGTGGCATATCTCCCCTCCAAAATAAAATAATGTAATTTTAAAAGGAATTAAAGCTAATACATGGCAAGCCAGGCATGGTGGTGCATGCCTTTAATCCCAGCACTTGGGAGGCAGAAGCATGTGGATCTCTGTGAGTTCAAGGCCAGCCTGGTACAAAAACAACAACAAAAAAAGAATTACACGCATAATGTCCGACAGGTATTTAATTGGACTCCAACATAGAATATCTGTCGGTTTCTAGTCTCTTCTTTTGCCCCCTCTCTCTTTGTCATTGTTTAATTGAATTTCAAGATGAAATGATTACATGAACAACAGCATTGATATTGAGAGAATTTAATTACAGTTACAGATGTGTAATATGTATGATTTTGTTATGGTGGGAGGGCTGGCTGGTTGCAGATGTGTAATATGTATGACTAAACACATGTGTGTGAAATGTGGAAGCAAAAGTGATTGTAGATGATGCAGGAGATGCTTTTGCTGCAGAGGTGGAAGGTGCTAACACGAGCTCTCACTGAATGGAGTGGGACAAGATGGAAATAGGAGCAAAACAAGTCAACTATCTGTGAAGATAACTTCTCTGCGATCCTGCTGTCCTGGTTTCAAGTTTGTATCTCTTAAAATACTAATGCTTTCATTTCCTCCCAATTCCTCTGCAGTCAGCTCTGGCTCATGGTGCCGGTGTTAGTGGTCAATGGCATCTCTGCTGGAATGAGTATCATCCCAACTTTCCCGGAGACCCTTAGTTGTGCATAGTAAGTTTCTCAGTTGTTTGACAAGCTCTGCAGTGATGGGCGTGGTAGCGGGTGTGGGGTGGGAAGGGGTGGGGTGGGTTAGGGTGGGAAGGGGTGGGGAGTGGGAGATAGGCAATCAGTCTCACCTCACTTGTTCAGACCCATAGGAGGTTGGATATTTGCCCAACAGTACATCTTCATGATCTCAGATCATATAAATATTGTGACATAAATCATATAAGTAATAGTGGAACCATACTGAAAATGACATAGTGACATTAATATACTAAAAGGTAGAATAGGTTACAGGGAGATGCTTGGCTTCTTGTATGTCTCAGGTGGTGTGTGTGTGTGAGTGTGTGAGTGTGTGTGTGTGTGTGTGTGTGTGTGTGTGTGTGTGTGTGTGTGTGTGTGTGTGTGAATAGTTTTAGAAGTCCAGAACCAAATGGAGAAGTTTCAGAGGCGCCCCTGTGCATGGAGGAGAATCATACACGGGCACAGGGTGACGAGCCATCTGTCGCTTGGCCGTTGTCCCTTTGCATGTGGCATGTTCATGAACACTAAGGTCTTGACTGTGCTGGGGTTTCTCAATGACACTCAGAGGACAAAGAGCTGGATCTGTTTTCTTAGAGCAGCCTTTCTTCTCTTCACCCTATTTTAAGAGTTTCTAGGTTAATTATGTACTTAATTAGCGTTTAATGCAGATGAGTTATGATTCTTGCTATTATACAGATAGATGTAGTAAAATTAGGTTATTTTATGAAAATGCCTTCCAATTTGATTTACATATTTTATTTATTTTTTTTAATTTTTGAGATTATAATTACATTTCACCCTTCCTTTACTCTCTCCAAACCCTCCCATATACCTCTCTACACTCTCCAAATTCATGCTCTCTTTCTTCATTGTTGTTGCCTGCATATGTGCATTTGTATAAATATATATAATCCTAAATATACCCGGTTCAGTCAGTATAATGTTTCATGTCTGTATGTTTTCAGGGCTGACCATTTGGCACTGGACAAACAATTGGTGTACTCTTCCCTGGGGAAGAGCACCTCTCCCAGCCTTCTTCAATTGCCTATAATCTTTGTGTAGGGTTGATATTTGTTTTGTGCTGGTGTTTGAGCCCAAGGCCTTGGGCATGATAGGCTCACACGCTACCATTCAGCTACATCTCCAGCTCCCAGATGAGTTCTTATTTTAGAATGGAATGCTCTTATATTTAGTTTCTTCAGATTGTATGTGGGTTATCTTAATGTATCTGTCACACACTTTTTCCATACAAGTTCTCCTTTTCATGATGGATCTGTCCATGTTTCTCTGCAGTGAAAATGGGTTTGAAGAGGGAATAAGTACGCTGGGACTCGTATCTGGTCTTACTGGCGCCATGTGGTCAGTTGGGTAAGTGAATTCATTTGCACCTGAGAGATGGAAATGCTCTTTCCATGTTACAGATGGAAAATTGAAACATCAAAAAGGTCCATGAGATTATCTAAGGCAAAAGCTCATCTAAGGCCGAGCAAGATTTCTAATTCACAACCTGTGACTCCAAAATCTAGAATGTCAGTATATGTCATACCAAGCTAAGGTACCTTCATGGACCTTGCTTTGAGCAATACTTAAAAATTCCTTTAACTGAAGCATATCTCAGACTTTTAAAAATGCATTCCTTTATTGATTCACTTGCTTGGTTGTTTGATTGGTTATTTACTTCCTAATAGATCAGACAATGCACTGTATAGTAGCAATCTAATACATACAGAGTCAATAACTATGCACTGAACGGATTCAGTTAATAAGAATAGAAAGAATAGTGGGCCAGTGAGATGGCTGAGCAGGTAAAGTACTTGCCACACAAGCCTGGAGACCTGAGTTCAATCCTGGGAACCTCAATAAAGATAGAAAGAAAAAGGGAACTTGTTTCACAGGCTTGTCCTCTGACTTTCTTATGGTACTGTTGCATGCACCCCTACCCACAAAATAGATTATTTTAAACATGTGCTACTGTTTTTATTGTTAAGTAGGTCACCAACTTCACAGCTGTAATCCTACATTTACAACTGTCTAATAATCATAATTCTTTCTTTCTCTTCTTCTCTCTCCCATCTCAGCACTGGATCTGGGGATCAAACTCCACCCTCCACACTGTGGGCAAGTGCTCTACCAATGAGCCACACCCAGGCCTAGAACTTATGCCTGAGAATCTCCCTTTATTGTTTTAGCTTAAGGAAGACCAGTGACTGGGGTGTCATGCATCTTTATAAAGTAGTTTTTGCACTGTTAGATACTCACCCATTCTTCTTTCCATGGTCAGTGCTTTCATGGGACCAATGCTGGGCGGATTTCTGTATGAGAAAATTGGTTTCGAGTGGGCAGCAGCTATACAAGGTCTATGGGCTCTGATAAGTGTGAGTAATCCTGGATTTGCGGGGGTTTCTTCCATTTCCTTACACTTTGGAGACACTTGTCTTGGAGGATTTGCTTTAACAGTGCATTTCGTTGTGTTAAAGGGACTTGCGATGGGCTTATTTTATCTCTGGGAGCACTCAAAGGCGAGAAGAAGGTACGATCAGCTTTCCAGACTCCTTTCCTCTTTAAAAAAAGGCTAGCTCATGAGCATAGAAAAGAAATATTATTTTCCATCCCTTCTTGCTATTAGATTTCTGGGGAACATAAGCCTTGTTTATTGACAGGCACGTAGGTCCAAGGAGGTGCTTGGGTGGAGATGTAGGTACTGAGTGTTTAGCTTTCTTTTTTCTAGGGTGTGGTGGGGTTTGAGATAGTTTCTTTGGGTAGCCCTGGCTGTCCTAGAACTAACTCTGTAGACCAGGTTGGCCTTGAACTCAGAGATCTGCCTGCCCCTGCCCACTGAGTGCTGGGATTAAAGGTGTGTGCCACCACAGCTAGCTGTGTTTAGTTTTTTAAGATGATCAATACTGTCTGGTTGTTTTTTTTTATTTATTTATTTATTTTTTACCTCACTGTAGATCTAAAACTCAGAACATCATTGACACAGAGGAGGAAGAAGCTGGGCTCTTGCCCAATGAAACCTAAGCTCGCAAGCTCTGGACTGATGCAGACTGGGAGACAGGTGCCTCGAGCTAAGACAGCAGCTGCTGGAGGAGCTTTCTGGGTGCCAGGCAGAAGTCCTTGCTTCCTGGACTCGAACCCTGGAAGTGTCAAGCTGCTTTTAGACGACCCTGCCCCGGGCTGCGCTTACTGTAGTTTGGAACATCTATGAGAAAGGGAAAACCAGCAGAAGCTGGTGTTTCTAAATGACCCGCCTTGTCCCTCAGGGTGCTGTTATTGACTCTCTTTGGCTTTCTTATTCTTGCATTCGTTTTTCATTCTAAGTTCTTCAGTTCTACAGATGCACTTCTTAAAATTAATATGTGAAGAAATGAAACTACTTAATATACCTTGAACATATACAACAGAATGTATAATTTTATGAAATCAGTTTTGAAAGACGTGCTTTCTCTGCACTGAGATTTTTATATCCATTAAAAAGGCAAAATTCCTGCCTGCCACATAAAAACTCTAGAGCATTCTTTGGCTCTCAGGTTTTCTAAAAACATTTCTGTGCAAGGCACACACATACAAAAAATAATGATACATGCAGTTTCTATTTTGTGACATTTTTAGTTATGATTTGTATTTATAAATATTATATGCCATACCATTATTCGTTTCCAATCTCAGTATCTCTTGTTTTAGTCCCACAGTTTGTTTGTTTATTGGGTTTACTACTTTTCATACTCTTGGAAGTATGTTCCATCACTAGGCGGGGCAGGCCCCCTACCTCCCCAAAGCCAACGATGAGTGTGTGCTGCACGTTGGAGGGATTCTCCCTCTAGCTTCATGTAAAATCCTTGCTATTACTTGAAGTGAGAATGTCAACTTTATACCTCCTGATTCATTTTCTTATTTGTAGTAGTTACATTTCTTTTTTAATAGAATAAAAGATTTTTGTCTATCTATCCATTGTATTCATTCAAAACACTCTTTTTTATATATATATTTTAATTTATTTTACATCCTAACTACAGTTTCCTCTCCATCCTCTTCCCCCATTACCTTCTCCCTACTTCTTTTCTACCTCCCCCGACCCCCATCCATTCCTCAGAAAGGGTAATGCTTCCCATGGGAGTCAACAAAGCATGGCATATCAAGTTGAGGCAGGACTAATTTCCTCCCCTCTGCATTAAGGCTGAGCGAGGTATCCCACCATAGGGAATAGGTTTTAAAAAGCCAGCTCATGCACCAGGGACAGTAACTGGTCCCACTTCTAGGGACCCCACAAACAGACCAAGCTACACAACTGTCACACAAGGCAGAGGGCCTCGTTCAGTCCCATGCAGGCTCCCTAACTCTTGGTCCAGAGTCCATGAGCTCCCAAGAGCTCAGGTCAGCTCTCTGTGGGTTCCCTGTTATGACCCCCACCCCCACCCCGGTTCGTACAATACCTCCTCCCTTTCTTCAGCAAGACTCTCAGAGCTCAGCCAAGTGCTTGGCTGTGGATCTCTGTACCTGCTTCCATCAGTTACTGGATAGAGTATCTCTGATGACAATTAGGGTAATCACCAATCTGATTACAGGAGAAGGCCAGGTCTTCAGGTACCCTCTCCACTGCTAGAAGTCTTGGCTGGGGTCATCCTTGTGGACTACTGGGAAGTAAAGTTTAAGTAATTCCCTTAATATAAAGTTATTAAACGTTAATGTGTCAAACCAGATGTATGGTGCAAGCCTTTAATCTTAGCACTTGAGGACAGAGGCAGGTGAGTACCTGTGAGTTCCAGGTCAGCCAGGACTAAATAGTGAGACCATGTCTAAAAGAAAAATGTGAGTATGTTAAGTATATTAGATTTCTTTTCCCAGAAAAAGTTTAACAGAAGAGACTAGTTGGTCAAGATGGAAAATGTAAATGGAGAAAATAATAAATGAGGCATGTGTTTATACTAAGAAAAAATAGTTAAGTGCTTTTAGCTTAGTGCCGAAATTTTACTGCTGTTTCCCGCACAGTACAAACCAGTTCAGACTTGATTTCTCTCCAGACCTTTGATGGTGGTGGCTCTCTGTCCTAATAGTCCACCCTAATAAATGCCTTTCAGTCAGCAGGAAGCCTTTAGCAACTGAAACTCCCCCTTTTTAATCCTAGTTAGACAGGCATTCTATATAATTAATGGGCACACTTATGATTTTTGTTTTAAATATGGATTCTCCTACTTCATACTTTTTTAACTTAGACTCTCGATTTTAGATATTGGCAAAGGTGGCAGAAAATTTATATTGAGGTTAGTGTCTCCTACCCAGCACATTCTAGCATTTACATAAATATATGCAAAATCAGGCAGTGGTGGCCCACACCTTTAATTCCAGCATTTGTGAGGTAGAGGCAGGCAGATCTCTGTGAGTTTGAGTGAACTCCAGGTCAGCCAGGACTGTTTTACAAAGAAACCCTGTCTTGAAAAACAAAACATAACAAATATATTTATATTTATAATTACTTTTTAAATACTTATATAATATTTATAATTAATTAGTTAATCAATCTTGGTTTTGTTTTTTTTTTTAATTTTTTTTTTAGTTTTTCCGAGACAGGGTTTCTCTGTGTAGCTTTGCACCTTTCCTGGATCTCGCTCAGTAGACCAGGCTGGCCTTGAACTCACAGAGATCCACCTGGCTCTGCCTCCCGAGTGCTGGGATTAAAGGCGTGAGCCACCACCGCCCGGCTTGGTTTTTTTTTTAATGCAAGGTTTCTCTGTGTAATAGGCCTGGTTGTCCTGGAACTTGCTTTGTAGACCAGGCTGGCCTAGAACTCACAGAGATCCGCCTCTGTCTCTCCTTCTGGGCACTGGGATTAAAGGCATGCACATCTACACCCTCTTGAATGGAGGTTTTGCTAAACATTCAAAAGGAGCATGCACATCAACAGTGCCATGAGAATAAACCTCTTACTATTGATGAAGAAAGATGATTGTAATACAGTGACGATACATCATGTTCTCCCAAAGTATCAATAAAACAAATGTTTTATTTAAAAAAAATAATTCCCAGCACTTGGGAGGCAGAGGCAGGCAGATTTCTGTGAGTTCATGGCCAGCCTGGTCTAAAACTGAGTTCTAGGACATCTAGGGCTATTATATAGAGAAATCTTATATTTTAAAAAAACCCACCAAGACTGATTAATTAATTTAAAATAATTTTTAAAAGTAAGTGAGGCTGAAGCTGTAATATAACACAGCAGTAGAGTATGTGCCTGGCCTGGTTCAGACCCTAGTAACATATTCACATCATACTATAATAAGAATAGGAATGACTAATGATATGAAATTTTGTCTAGCATTTCATAAATACCACCTAATATGCTAGCTTCTTTATTTCATCCTTTGTCATAGAGACCTATGCTGTATGGTTTTGAGTGCTAAGTTCCCACAACTTAGAATTACATGAGAAGAAAGTCTCAATTGAGAAATTGCTTAGATGAAGTTGGTCTCTGGGAGATTGCCTTGATTGTTAATTGATGTGGGAAGACCAGGCCCACTGTGGGTGGTACAATTCCCTGAGCAGGGTTCCTGAACTGTGCATTCCATGCTTTCTGTTCTTTTCTATGAACTACTATGCTTGAGTTCCTGCATTGACTCCCATTAATGATGCACTGAAACCTGGAATTGTAAGCCAAGTAAGGCCTTCTCTCCCCTCAGTTGCTTTTGGTCAAGGTATGTATCACAGCAACAGAAATGAAATTTGAACAAGACCCTGAGTGACAGTGTCAATATTAGTATTATTAAGTAAGGTGAGAGCATCATGGTGCACGTCTAAAATTGTAGAATGCCAAAGGTTGTGACATGAGAATCAAGAGTTTCAGCCACACAACATTTGAGGCCAGTCCTGGCTACCTAATAAGACCCTATCTCAAAAACTAAAAATAATGATACAATGATGATGATGAACGTTTTAAAAATGACACCAAGACAGAGAAAGTTTCTCTGTTCCCCAGGTCAGGGACAGACTGACAGGAAGCTGGCCTTTCATGACAGTGGACTCCAAGACATTTGCACTGAATGCCTTAGCCATTTAAATGATACCTAAATGTGAGGGGGAATCATTGATAGTTCAAGGATTCCTCTTCAGATCAGATCACAATTTGACAGTAATAGAGCTGCTCCTGTCTCACTGTGCTAAAAATTTACATAGATGGAAAAATATTGCAAGTTGTTTTACAATATAATTTTAAGATATGTTACATTTGTTTGTGCTATAGAACATTTGTTTAATGATGCAAAGATGAGTTGCATTCTTTTAGGTTGCATTTGTTTAACTCTGTGAAGCTGTGTTATTTTGTCTGTCTAAAACGCCTGATGGTCTAATAAAGAGCTGAATGGCCAATACTGAGGCAGGAGAGGGAAATAGGCAGGGCTGGCAGGCAGAGGGAATAAATAGAAGGGGAAATCTGGGAGGAAAGAAGAAAGAACAAGAGAACAAGGAGAGGAGAATGCTAGGGGCCAGCCACCCAGCAACACAGTCACACAGTCACACAGCCATCCAGCCACACAGTTACACCGCCATCCAGCCACAAAGCAAGAGTGAAAGTAAGATACAGAAGTAAAAAAAGGTAACAGGATAATTTAAAGTTAAGAAAAGCTGGCAAGAAACAAGCCAGGCTAAGGTTAGGCATTTGTAAGAAATAATAACCCCCCTGTGTGACTTATTTGAGAACTAGGTAGTGAGTCCCCCAAAAGAGTACAGAGCAAAAACAACAGCAATTAGACAGGAAAAGAGCAGCAGGAATCTAGATTTCAGAATCATCTAAATATAGTTGTGGTTTGCTAGAGCACATATAACAAAAGAAACCATATACTTAATGTTTGAAAGCACACAAATGCATTACCTCATAACCTACTTCACTTCTAAGACTGTGAGAGTCAGCTGCATGTCTCCTTCCTGGCTCCTGGACATTGTTAGTCTGGTTCCTTGACTATCTTAGCAAAGACCCAACCCTCCTCATGTCACATTCTTCCTGTGTGTGTTTGTCTATCTTTGTGTCTGAAATTTTTCTTTTTGTAAGAATACCAGTCAGATTAGGAGGTCTGCCTTGCTCCGGGTGACCTCATATTAATTAATTATAAATCCTATTCAAAAATCAGGGTTTATCTGAGGTGCTAAGGGTTAGGACTTTCAATGTGAATTTTTAGGGAACACAGCTCAACTTTTACCAGTGTCAAAGAAGGGATGTAAATTAGATTAAGCAGGAGGAAAGATCTTTGATTTTGGCTGAAAAAAAATATTAGAAAATTGCCGGGCGGTGGTGGCGCACGCCTTTAATCCCAGCACTCGGGAGGCAGAGCCAGGAGGATCTCTATGAGTTCGAGGCCAGCCTGGACTACCAAGTGAGTTCCAGGAAAGGCGCAAAGCTACACAGAGAAACCCTGTCTCAAAAAATCCAAAAAAAAAAAAAAAAAAAAAAAAAAAAGAAAATAAAGAGGTCTTGGAAGATGGCCCTATGAATAAAAGTGTTTGCTGTGCAAGTGTGAGAAACTGAGTTCAAATCCTCAGGACTCTGGTAAAAGCCGGACACATAGCATAGATATATGTAATCCTAACCTCTTATGGGGAGGTAGGGAATGAATGGTAGAATTGGAGGACTCCCCCAGAAGAACAAGGGCCACCTAGCCTGGCATATGCAGTGGGAAAACAAGAACATGGCCCTATCTCAAACAAGACCAAAGATTGAGGACCAACTCCTGACTTACACATCCCCTGACATCTGTGCCATAGTACATGCATGAACGTGCACACACATAGATCACTTAATTTTTGAAGTAAAAAATAAGTTAAAAAAAAAAAGCAAGATGTAGTGGTGCACATCTTTAATCCCAGAACTTGAGAAGCTGAGACAGGTGGATCAGTGATTGACAGGACAGGCAGGGCCACATAGAGAGACCCTGCCTCAAAAACACACACAAAAAAAAGAAAAA